CTGTAGATGAGGCCATGCGTTGGTCGTCCATCTCACGATGCAACTCGAGAGCCATCGCCATCCCGGTCGCGGTTGCTATAAAATTAGGATTAGCTTTGCATGGACCGCAGGAAGCTATGAAATGCATAACCTACCGAGAAGCATGTATGCCTTTCTACCCTTCCCGGATGCGATGAAGGCCATCACCAGAAGAAGTGCTGCTTGTAAGCCGTCAACGGAAGGTTCATCAGCATCGATCTCCTTTCTCGATCGGGCAGCATAGTCTTCGCTAAGATTAACCGCTGCTTGATATCCGTCAGGGTGCGCAGTGTATCTAAGAGGAGAGTGAGCCAAGTGAATGTACAGCAATAACAGAGCGCATCTACTTACCTTGAAGCCACCGCGAACATAGCGTTAGCGAGGAAGTCGGGCAGTTGGCCTAACTGTGCTCGTTGTCGAGTCGTCGACTCATCTAGGATGTGGTATGGTTTCGCATGATATCGAGAAAAGTAGGTGTCTATCAAGGCTTCAGCCGGCACTAGTGGCGGGGCTCGTTCCCTATATGAAGATCACAATCGGTCAGTGGGTATGTTCAAACACTTGAACCGAGGAATAGTGAACAGACTTTGACTTGGTGATTGAAACGGGAGTCACCAAGGTTTCCCCTCCTGTCGGGGATGCTCTGGTATCGACAGTCAACCGCTTGTGCGGTGGCTTCTCGAGTTCCTCATCTGCAGCCTCTTTCACGGCTGTAGTCGCCTCCGCTGAACTAGATGAGGAGACTTGCTCCGCGTTCTTCTCTCGTAACTTGGCCTCGAGGCCATCCACCCGCTTCAACAAAGCATCCAAAACATCTGTTTTGGGGCCTCTCTTCTTGGGTACGGCATCTATGAAGATGGGTCAATACTATTCAGATGATTCCTATCGTGGGTAGGGGATAACATGGGTTTCTAATATCTGAACATACCATAGATACAAGGGCATTGGAAAACCTGGCATGCCTCGCACGCGGGTCGAAGGCGATTGCATTTGATCTAGACACCGGATGTGTAAGCCGAGGCCTTCAAGACAACATAAACCAAATAATCTGGTGAAATGTGAATGCATGCCAAGATTCTGAGTTGAGAACGAACCTTTCGCTTCCTGCAAGATTTGCAATTCATAGATTCGCGTGGCTCGTTGCTCATCCGGCGGGCCGGGAGGCGCTCAATGCCGACCTGAGGCCGGCTCACGGCCACTGTCGCATGGGGACCAGACATTTGCGGAAGCGCACCCGAGGGATTGTAGACGGAAACGCTCATGTCCTCAAAAGGGAAAGACAATGCTCTATAAGCCGATCATAGAACGCTCAAAGACTGCCGATGAACCAGGAACCGAAAGAGCCCAGCCGGGTTGGGTTGCCAGCAAGGTGGAAAGCGGCGTTGGGGAGGGGAAAAAGATTTGTCGGTGAGCGAAAGTCTTCCGGCGCCGAGATTGATGATAGCTTTGAGACCCAAGTTTCACATTGCCCAGATGCCTGTCTCCCTCAGCTCCTAGAAGTGGTGTGATGTGTGGGAAGGGCAGTCTCTCCGGGGCAGGTGTTTGTTACCGGAGTGCCCGTTGGTCATTCAGTCAGGATACTGGACGAATCTCATATCGGCCAGCCGTAGGTGTAGTCAGGGATCGCGAGCGAAAACCGAGCCTTATGTCAGAGGAGCAGACCAGGCAGGTCAAGTAGAAGAACGCAATGGATGGGTGAGTGGTTGGATGGAGCTGGGTTGAGCTCAGGTCAGATCAGGTTGGACGGCCTGATGCAACGAGCGAAGCCGAGGTCAACCAAGGATGACGGGAGCACAACCAATACGATTATTGGTTCCCGGAAATCTGTCAGTGGTAGGCAACCAGTTGCTGGGGGTTGCGATGGGCGGATAGATGGGCAGGTCCTCCAACGGGGTGAGGGAGGTGTCTCTCAGCCACAAGTTGCAACGGTAAGTAGGTAGTTAAGTATGTACGTGGGGTGGATTGGTTTTTTTTTTTCTTTTCGAGAAAGGAACCGAAGCGACCGTATGTCACGCGCAAGAAGGGCGTCTCGTAAGGATCATTTCACTCGGGTACTATGTAGGTGCAGCAGAGAAATCCGGGGTGAGTGAGGGGGCCGCGCCGATCCAGGAAAAGGAGGTTCCAAGGTTTGGCTTGCCGGACGGAGTTAAACTAGGGCCTGCGCCTGTCCTAGGTCCAAGACAGCTTTGTTTGCGTGCTTGCGTCGGTGGCCGTTGGCGGCTACTAGCTGTTAGTAGACGGTGGACTCCTCTGTTGCTGTTTTTATGACCGCTTGCTCATGGGGCCTGCTGCATGTCCGTCGTCGGCGACGTAGCATCCGTAGTGAGGAGGCCAGGCAGAGCTTACCAGAAAGCATGGAAGCCAGCTGGAGACAGGGTCAACAAGTGGCCACGGATTGGATGGCTGGACATGGGTCGGTCTAGCACCTGGCACTGTGCCCACAGCCCCAACGCCAGGCATGAATCGATGCTGCCGCGAAGAAACTGTTGCGAATCCAGGCGGCGTCGGTCAGTCACAGCCAGGACCAGAAGCGAGGCAGCGCGGACCTCGAGGGCGAAACTGGTCCGGGCCATTGATAGTGCGAGGCTGCTAGCCACGACGGGAAAGGACGGCACACTGTGACGGCCCCCTTCCTGTACCCCATGTAGGCGAGTAAGGTAGGCACCAAATGAGGACCAGTGAGGGGTTGGAGGGGCATGTGGCCAGTTGATGCTGTGCGGAGGTGGAGAAGGCCTCAGCAGAGGACGCAAAGCGGATGGATGCATCATGCGGAGGTGGAGGCGCTGTGCTGGTGCTGTGCTGGTGGTGTGGAGAGCCAGCCGACGGTTTAACGGGCGTCGTGTCCTGCTTGAGCCCTGGCCCGGGGCACTGTGGATGCCCTAATTAGCAGCCTGCCTCCACTACCAGAAGGTCCCGACTCCTGTCCAGCAGAGGTGCAGCCCGCTAATTATCGCTGCTTTGGGTGACAGCCTACACACCTACTACTGCTCTCATCTCCGTGCCTGGATCCGCGACCCTCGACCGTCTCAACTCGAGATGAAGGACCCCAGCAGCTGTGACTGGTCGGCTCAGAGCTAGCCAACAGGCTTTTCTATCTTATTCCTCGTCCTCCACTTTCCCCAGGTTTCTTCGCCGCTTCCTTCGATCCTTCCTGCGCTTCTCCCTCCATCGACACCTTTCATCTCCATCAAGGACCATCTCAGCCCACCCACACACCGTCAAAACTAACAAGCAAGGGATATCATTCCGTGCCTGGGTGCCTGCACTTATATCTTCTCTTGGATCCCTACAAGCCCAACCCATGCAGGCCACTACAGTCAAAGGCGACCCCATCGTTTAATCGGCCCGCCAAAGCGAGTACTACTATCAGGGTCCCATTATATCCACACGCAGCCAGACTTCTATGTCCATCATTGCCATCAAACTGATTCGATTGAACGACTGGCCGATCCTGCTACTGTATCTCGCGCGTGAGGTAAGACGCGCTGAGGCAAGAGAGGGAATCGGCCAGTCCATCTATCCCACCTCCTGTTACCTGTGATGCCATCATTTTTGGCCTGTAGCAGCCCTGCCGGTTGACCATCTACTCTAATATACCGCCCCCTCCACATAATACCGTAGGCAATCGCGTGAGTTCCGAGCCCGGATTTAGACAGAGGAGCTTCATGCTTTAACATGCTCCCCTTTTTCATGTTAAAATAAGAATCAGGCACCACCTGCTTGCGGCCGGCCTCCCTCCGTGAAACAGATGCCGACAAATAGATATAGCATGCAGATCGGCAACTATTCCCAGGTGTGGCTGCGGGTTCGTTATCATCTTCATTGCCGCTCGAATTGCAAAGAGCCGCCCACCTCCCGGCGATTTCGAATCCAGTCACGTCAATCGAGTTGCCCTTTTAGTCCAACGGCTGTGAGTAGATCCCACACAAGGTGAACCAATCGAACTCCAATTGCGACGGGCCTGGCGTGCCTGAACTAGCTAGCCTCGTCTCATCTTCCAGAAAGAATCCATCCTGCATCCTCACCGTACTGGCGAATGCCGAATGTAAGATGAAGCACGTAGGACATAGGGCCGGCCCACAATAACCCGACTCCCGAACCAGCCCATCATTCGCCTTGTCTGGGTATTTGCCAAAAGTCGCCATCAGCCGGAAAAGGCCTTCTGTCCGTCGGTGATTTCCAGTGCTCGCTGACCATGTGATATCGTCTGGTTCAGCCAGAGGGAGGCTTTGACTCCGACCAAATGTTGCTTACACTGCCGAGCTCCCTTTTCCGATCCCTGTTTGCCGGCTGGTCGTTCGGATATTGGCGAACAAGGTTATTTTGAAACAACAAGAATAGCTGTCGTGATGTGGTCTATCATAAAGGGAGTGGATTGGGTGTATGTCTTTCAGGTTAGGCCAGTATATCACCAGCTGCCTGTTCATTTAAACTCCAACTATCCTCATTTCTGATTCGTTGTGCGCCTCGTGACCTGCCCGCCCCCGAAATATGGTCAAAATGCACCATCCATCCATCCATATAGACTTGTACCTTGCTTGATTATATGACTTCAACGACCATGAAACCCATTCAGGCGCCCCCGGGAGAAAAGAAAACAAAGTTCGAAACCATCATTGCCAGACACCTTAGCCAAACTCCGAAAGATAGTGGAATCGTCCACAACATGTGCTTGATGCTAATAAAAACGCACCTACCCTCTTGAATTCCAAATAAAACGATGGATAGCCAGGGAATGGGAATCTCCGGGGCAAGACTGGTGTAGCTGAGATGGTGTAGATTGGAGGTTGTTGTCTTGGCTCGGAACTCCTCAACGACCAACCCCAACAATAGTCCGGCCTGGAGTCATGGCTAGTGTACTCTTGTTTTTCAAGACTTTGCAAGCATCTGTTGAGTCCCAGGGGGCTGGCCTCCCATCCTTAATCCGGTAGAGCCTTGAGCCCACACTCATGACAGTCGAGCAGACAGTGATCCTGCCTTCTTCAGAAGAGGCTTCTACCACTGGCAAGCCTTACAAAACTATAAGGCACATTCTGCCCAATCAAGAGCCTCAGACTCTCAACCGTTGTAAACGCTGCCACGTCTGCCGCTCCATACGCGGTGAAGCCACTTTTCTCGGCAACTGTGCCAGGGTCGCTCTTATTCCACGTCGCTTCGTCAGCAAGGTTCAGGAATACTTTCTTCGTGTTTGACACATGGCCGCCCACCGCCCCAAATGCTCGAATCATCATGCCTACAAGATGGCTCTTATCTGGTCCCAGGGCGGAAACGATCACAAAGGGAGCGGTTTCATCGGCGACGGACCGTGCACGCTGGAGGCTTTCGAGACTGATAAACTGCTCAATAGGTGGTGCGTTCCTCGCCAGCGATGAAGGTGTCCTGAAACCAATAGTATAGATCTTTGCGATCCTCAAGGCCTTCATCGCGTAGAACACCGCCGCAGCGTCATCCGAGGTCGAAGCTAAGACAACAGCGGACCTGCCAGCGTATGCAGAAGGAGCAAGGTCGCGAGTAAGAGCACTCATTATGCCTTTCCAGCTGGCATTATCAAGAATAAGTGTTGTATTAGGAGGTAACGCCGAATGGTGGTAAACAGGCCCATGACCATCATGTGCACGGCGGTGGGGACTCGAAGGAACGGAGGGAGGTGACGAGTTGGAGGTTGAAGATGAAGCAGACTGAACCACAATGGTGTCGAAAATCCCGATTACACGAGCTGCTTCGGTGAGGTTAGGCCCGCTTCCATTGTTTAAACTAGAGAAGAAGGGGCTGGCTTTGAGCAGAGAATGGTGAGAGAAGCCTGGATCCAGGTATGCACCGCCAAAACCCTTTTGGTTACAGAAGGGTTCGATGCTGCCCGGGTTACCTGGATGGCGCTCGACGATGGCAAAATGATGCGGTAGGCCAAGCTCGTTCAAGCATTTCTCATAGAAAGGGGCCAACGGCGTGGCGCTTCGCGAGGCAACACTGCTAATCCCATATATGTTCTTCTTGGGTAATTGGCCTAGCAAAGAAAGGGCGGCATTGATCTCGGCAGTACTCATCTGGCCCGGCGCGGCGATGATAGGAAGTAGGGGATGTGTGACAGGGGTGAATACCTTGTTCAACGTTCGTGAGAACTGGCCCGTCTCTCCCATGTTGACAGCCGACAGTGGTGGAGCCTCGGGGTGCTCCGATCGAACTTTGGATCTGAAATACTCCAACTCGAAGTTCTCGTTATGCTCGTTGATGATAGCAATCATCTTCACGATGTCGGCGTATTGGGAGGAGCGCCGGAACACGTCGTATGCATAGGACGATGGCCACCTAAAATTGCCCGTAAAGTCATGGAAAGCCGACATTATGCGAGAGCTGCCCCTGTTCTCATAGAGCTTCTGTCGCATAGGTTCTGGTAACCAAAGCTCTACATCAATATATTCTACTCCCCACTGGATTGCCCGGTAGAGGTATTTATAGTACAGCTCGGGATCATCCATTGGAAATCTGCCATTTTCACGGGTACACCTCGTGGTGAATATGAGGGGTAGCTCTGTCCTCTGTCGAAGGAGCATCACCTGTTCGCCAACATATGCTAGGCTGGGGACCTGGGAAAAGGAGCCATCTGCCAACGGTTCCCGTAACAGATCCACGCGGATCTCAACGGCGTCAGCCCCCACAGTGAGGATATCAATATTGGGTAAAGCTGCCCTAACATCGGGGAAAGTGGTTGAGATGAAATAAGTTCGGGGTTTCTCCATGAGCTCCTTGTGGTGGCTGATTTGACCCAAGGTGAAGGATGTGAAGCGAGCCAGGTCACGTCTGAAGAAAGGCGATTCGGTGTAGAGGAACTCGTAATCGCAGTGGGCAGATAGATGGAGGTCGGGTGGCATCCCGAGCCCCGTGCAGTGAGCGTTGATGGCGACGACATGCTCCGAATTCCTGAACTCGACGTCCAATTTGGCGTCCGCGGCGAGAATACCAACAACATGTCCACGCTCCTCGTGGCCCACATCCTTGAAACTGTCCCTCATCTTGTACGGTTTCCCAAGTACCTCCGCAAAAACGGACACAATCAGGTCCTGGCCCTGGCCATACACGATGACCACTACTCGATGATCACCGGTCTGGGGGGTGCCGCCGCCGAAGGCATTCCCGTTGTGAAGGGACGGGCTCTGGCTGGCCCTTTCAATCTCCATCTTGATAACTTTGGGGGAACCCGACGTTGACCCAGGGCTTGCCGTTGCGCCCGGGCTCGCTAACAACTGCTGGACGGTAGCCATGGGGAAGGTTGGGGAAAGAATATCCCTAAATTCTGCTCACCAGACCCAATCTGATAGGGATTCGAAAAGGTGCTCTGATGGAGCATTCAGTTGCGAAACAAGATTCCCTTCAACTACACATGCCGAAGCTTTCCACTAACGGCATCCGATTTGAATAAAATGGCCCAACAAGAGAGCGCCGCCGATTCCAATTCAGCCGTCAAGGCACAGTGTCAGGGCGCGATACTACCACGGAAAAGCCGGTGCCGTTGTAGGAAAGTCTAAGGGAGGAGTGATCTGCAAAACCGCTTTCAAATCCAAGGGATGACCGGTGCGCGAAGCGTCGGAACGAAGAGTCTCAAGCGAGGCGGGAGAATCAATGGCTTGACCAAGATGAGGGAAGCGGGATGATAAGCACTGCTCGCTGGCACCCTGAGAGTGATGCGCTAGGAGGGGAGAGATGCAACTATAAGGCTAGAGGGAGAGCGATGCAAGAGGCAAGCGAACAAAGGCGGTTTCATGAGCTGCGCTTGACGGAGGAGGCTGGTCACGTTTGGATGGCACGTTTGCAGTGACAAGGAAGGCCAGGCCGGTGCAGTACAAAAAGGCCGTGTGTAAATCCAAAGTCGGCAATAGACGGCGAGGGAAGAACAGGCCGGAACTTCGAGAGCAACAAACAGCACGCCCGTCTGAGCAGACACTTAGCCGCTGTGAAACAGTACCTCTGACGGACGGCTGCAAGTCTTTCCGCCTAAACGAGGGCCAGGCCTAGCAGGTCCAGGTTGAGGATGAGAAGCAAAGGTGAGGTACCAGACGGAGGTGCAAACCGGAGATGCGCCGAAGGATGGGATGAGCTTGTGCAGCTGGGTTCTAAGTGGCCGTTGGCACGAATCCGCGTTTTCCAGAGCCGGGGTACGTGGGGATGGGTTTCCACGCGAGAAGGTGACCAGGCAGGGTTACGTATCTGATGCCATCCTGAGACTGGGCTGTCGTTGGTGGATGCAAAAGGGTCCCGGCCTAGCTAATATTTGCGCCGGCCTATCGGACATTTACAGAGGAATTGTTCCACCAGACCCCAAGTACCAAATGGATGGTTCCAAACGGCTCTAGAGGAGAAGCTGAGCAGGCGCTAGGCAGCTCCCTAGGTGGAGGAGAGGCTGCGGGCTGACAAGGCAGCGAGTGTCTGATCGTATCAACCAGGTCCAAGGACGACGGGCCAGTGCTTGAGGGCGAGGTCCTAACGATCCGACTGTCTGCGTTGGAGTAGCAGTGTAACAAGTCGTATGACGGATTCTGCGTACAGGAACCCCTGCGACAAAGGCTCGAGTCCGTCCGGAGCAAGGCCTCTCTGGAAGGCAAGGGGTGGTTCCGGGGTTAGTCAAGCTGGCTTGTTCAGTCAGACAGGTTGGGGAAGAAGAGTCCCGACGCGGTGCTCCCGATGCCTTGCAAAAGCTACCCTTCTTCCAAAGCCCATGTTGATGGATGGAGGGTGAATTCTAGGACAGCACGTTTCCAGGCAGGAGGAACGTCCCGACACTGTATGTCGATGGGAGTGTACCCGCCCCCAGGTCCTGCGAACGCCCCAGCTCTGCCCAGCACAGGCGCTACACCAGGGGCGCTCGGCCCTGGTCCCGCTGAGACTGGCACAGTGCGAAGCTACTGTGGTGGGGCAGCCCCTTCCCTCCACCAATTCTCCATCACAACGCTGATCGGGTCAAGTCCCGCCCACCAGACGGGAAAACCAGTTCCGCCAATCATGATCCGTGCCTCGCGAAGCTTGTCGTCCATGGAATCGAGGCCGGTTTGGGGCACTGGAGCCTCTTTCCGTCTCACACCACACCATCACCCGGTCTGTGTCTGCCGGCGGATACGCCATCTACCTGGCCATGACTTGCGCTCTCGCTGTTCTACCATGCGAGTCCTTGTAGCCTTCATGTCACTTAGAGACCGCATCTAGACTGGCCGTTCGACCTATTTCGGCTGGGTCCTTGGTGGTATATCACATATCAGAACTGGGTGGATGTGATTATTGCTGTTCTGAGATGGCTGCTTGGTTTCCATTTCCTTGTTTGCTCGAATCCAGCAAGCTCACTTCCTAGTCCAGTCTATTACCCACTCGAGAGCTCGTGCTCATGCTTGTCATGAATGAGTGGACTCAGTAACGGCTTCTCTTTGGGACCAGCATATACAGTAGACCAGGATAAAGGATATTTCCGTGTAAGTCATCTGACAACAATTATAACGCCGAGCAGGCTGAGGCAGTTCCCGGGGGTTCATTGTAGCAGGGAGGAGATTCTTACGTGATTCTATTCAAACTTTTACTGCCGACTCAATATTCCACGAATCGATATCATCTCACTAATCATGCATCCCACGCCTCGTTATTCTCCGACGAGTGTATGGCAAGATGCTTGGGATCTGGTGGAGCTTATCTGAACGTTCCAAACAATAAGTCGGGATTATTAATAGGCAACCGCAAGTACCGAGGCGAGAATGAAGCATGAATAAACCAGTTGTTCCTAGTCAAGTCCGTGCTGTGGACTTACACGGATAGCCCTCCCAGTCACGCCAGCCTGCGACACGCAGTTTCGCACGATCTAATAGGCTCGCTTGGTGGTAAAACGTCACTTCTGCAACGAGAAGGCTTAAGCAACAGCCCATGTAACCTCGCTTCGTGAAGAGTCATCATCCGGGACGAGGAGTTTCACGATGCCAAGGGTCTACGCCCAGCCTGCGAGAGGCATGGTTTTCCAAGTTGATGTCAACAACGTGTTGTTATAGGTGGTCAAATTACATGGGTAAATATTCCGAGTGCTTGATATGCCAACTGCAAATCCTTGAGAAAAGCTTGCTACGGTCATGTTTCAACTTCGGCAGACAACATCGTCATCCGCTATCCGTTCCCAGCATATCAAATGATTTCGATGACCATTTCAGGAGGAATGTATGGTGGAATAATTCCTACCAAGTCCACCATCAAAACTCCCGGCTCAGTTTTGTGCCCACATCCCGATCATGTTGCCCTCAGTGTCAATCACATGAGCATAGAAGCCGGCATTCGGGCCGCAAGTCGTTCTAGGCCTAGGAGGTGGATTAGAAGTCTCGAATATATTAGAAGACTGAAGTGCACCGTGAGGACATACCACTGCGTCTTTCCACCCAGCTTCTCGGCCAGCTTGAGCGTTTCCGCGATGTCAGCAACCTGGATGGTTGGCAACACGGGCATGGCTCTCGGGCGGTCCTCAAAAAAGTTGACGACCCGGTGATCGTCACTCATTACGACGAATGCTCCGTTCACCGTGTCTTTCTTGTTGAAGAAATACATACCCTTGAAGGGGCAGTCCGGCGTGGGGGTTTCAACTTGTGGCACGGGGTTTAGGTCGCATTGCCAGCCAAACAAGCCCTCGTAGAACTTGGAAGCCCTTGAGATGTCCGAGACGGGGATCTCAAGCCAACAGACCTGGCCAACGCGTACCTCGCGGGTTCCCTGGTGTGAGGGCGTCAGCAGTCTGTGTCGGGAATAACAGCAGAGAAAGGGAGACAGACCTGGGATTCCTCGGTTGACATGTTGAGAACACTTCTTTAATCAAAGCTATGAGATATCTTTGTGGGATGAAGGCACGAGTTCTTTGATTTTTTGATGCACGTTAATCTCGCTCATTTTATACACCAACAAAACGAAGGCAACCCATCCTCCTAGCGATGCGTCGGGCGCCTCCTACGAAATAACGACGTCAAAAGGGGTTTAAACATGGTTTCTGCCTGTTGGTGGCGGTCTCTGAAGCCAATGAATGGTGCTGGATATCATGGCCAATACGAAGCTGGGCCCGGTGAGGGGTTGGATCACAGAAATTGCTGGTCAGTAACAGCGGCTGGCGTGAACGCCACAAAACGCATGCTCTATGCACGAGTGGCCTCGTGACAGCCAATCTACGGGCATTCTGGGCCACGGTGAGAGGCTCTCGCTACCCAGCTTGGAGCCGATAGCCAGAACCCTGGGGCCATCCATCACATGTCCAATAGAAACGGGCGACGATGGACAGATTAATCGTACCTATAGAGGCTTCGTCGATACTAGTAGATCCAGCCGTTGGGATGAAGAGGGGTAGTAGTGAACTGGGTGACAGAAGAAATGAGACATCCAATTGAAGGGTTTTGAGCAGGTTCTTTTCCATGACTAGAACAAGAACGTAATTCAGAATTTATATTCATATAATTAACTGACATCTAGTGTATTATCTCGTCAGATTTTCTTATCAGCTTTCAATAATCCGATAATATCGGTTGTAGACTGAGCAAAACCCAATAGAATATTCTGGTGTCTCAAATTTAATGTCACCCACTTGGCAATCCAATTGGGCGAGTGCCGACCAACGAGACGAATGCTTCAATTAGGTGGATTGACTGCCGCAACAATTGACCTGAAGGCAGCTGGTCCAGCCCAATTCCAAGTCTCAAATTTCAATTTCACGGCGGCCATTGCGCAAGGCGATTAACGCAGCGATCGATGAATAAATGCACGTAAAAACGCGGTTCGCAGCCCATTGAGCGCGGCCAATCAACGCGGGCCCACTCAAGCTGCGCGCGTCATCTGTCGCCTGAGTTTCGTGTATCGGATCAGAGCTTTCTTTTAAGTTGTCGCATGCATCACAGCAGTCCGCACTACAGCGAATTTCCATCATCAGGTCTGAGTTGATCCGGCGGTGACAATCCAGCTCATTTTTCCTGTCCTGAACCCTTTTGTTTCCATCCACCCGTTTCTCTTGCGCAATTCCGTCATTTGGCTTTAGCCAGGTGCCAGTCCATCTGCCGGTTCCTTCGCAATCACCCCAGCCTTGCTTTTCGACTCCATCAATCAATCATCTCCTCCTCTCAATTCAATCGCAATGGCAGACTCCATTGAAGCTGCTCCTCAGATCGACAACGCTGCCAAAATCGAGGAGACTGCCCCCGTCGATGCTCCCGTCGATGCTCCCACTGATGCCCCCGAGACAGAGAACGGCGCCGAGGAGAAGGATGAAGACATTCACTCCAAGAAGGTCACTCTCGCCGATCTGAGCGCCAAGGGCACCGCCCTCTACGCCCACAAGAACTACGAAGAAGCTGCCGAGATCTTCTCCCTCGCCAGCATCCTCCAAGCAGAGATCAACGGCGAAACCGCCCCGGAAAACGCCGAAATCCTCTTCCACTACGGTCGCAGCTTGTTCAAGGTCGGCCAGAGCAAGAGCGACGTCCTCGGCGGCTCTGCGCCCGTTGTCGAGAAGAAGCCTGCCAAGGCCAGCGACAAGCCCAAGCCTGCCGAGAAGCCCGCCAAGACTGAAGAGCAGGGCGAGAAGGCTGGCGATGACAAGAAGGAAGAGGATCCCGCGAAGAAGCCTCTATTCCAATTCACCGGTGACGAAAACTTTGATGATTCGGATGAGGAAGAGGTGCGTGTTATCCTGTCTGTGCTCGATTTTGGGCGTCGCTTGCATTGCTTGCATTGCTAACATGAGTGGTAATTTTAGGAAGAAGAAGAAGGAGAGCCTGAGGAAGAGGATGACGACCTCGCAACCGCTTTCGAGATTCTCGACCTGGCACGTGTCTGCTATATCAAGCTGCTAGAACAGGTCGACGAGGAAGAGAAGCCTGAAGGAAAGGGCAAAGAACCGGCGGAAGACTCTCCCAAGGTCCGACACATCAAGGAGCGACTCGCTGATACCCACGATGCCCTTGCAGAGATCTCTCTAGAGAATGAGCGGTACGTAAACTCCCAGACGCCGTTCCCAGTGCCCGCGCAAAGCCAAATGCTAACGTGGTCGCAGATACCCCAATGCTATCGAGGACGGTCGCACATCTCTAAAGTACAAACTGGAGCTCTACCCTGAGGACTCCGAGATCATCGCCGAGGCGCACTACAAGCTTTCCCTTGCTCTTGAGTTCGCATCCATTACAACGACAAGCGAGAATGGCGGCACTGAGCGCAGGGAAGAGATGGACCAAGGCCTGAGAGCTGAGGCAGCCAAGGAAATGGAGCTGGCTATCCAGAGCTCCAAGCTGAAGACTCAGAACAAGGAGGTCGAGCTCGCGACCATGGCCTCGCCCGAGGACAATGAACTAGCCCGCAAGCAGATTGCCGAAATGAAGGAACTCATCGCTGACATGGAGCAACGGGTAAGCCCTTTCCCCTCTTTGCACCCCCATCCTCCTACCTTCTATTTTACTGACGCTCTCAAAGCTCGTCGATCTGCGAAACGACCCAATCGATACCAAGGGCCTCCTCGGCGCCGACGCCAACCCCCTGGGTGGTGTTCTGGGTGCTCTGGCCGGCGAGTCTTCGGCCGAGACCAAGGCCCGCATCGACGAGGCCAGCAAGACCGCTACCGACCTGTCCGGCCTGGTCCGCAAGAAGAAGACCAAGGAGGAGGAGGTAGCCCCTGTCGAAGTATCCAGCGAGACCGAGTCTAACGGAAAGCGCAAAGCTGAGGACGACGCAGATGACGACTCGGCCAAGAGAGCCAAGGTCGAGGCGTCGGAAGCTGCCTAAGTGCAGACCACGCAGAAGCTTCTCTTCCGCGCATGTAATTTCTGTACACTGGTTCCCCTTTTTTTTTTTCTTTCTTTATAATTGTGCGGAGTTATGGGAGTACAAGCAAGGACCGGGTGGAAACAAGGGAATTGGGACATATGGAGAGCGGCGAGACGCAAGCTCCAATGCATAGGTTGTTGATGTACTAGTAGTATACGACATGATTTAACGGCTTCCCCCAGCTGTGAGGAAAGCCAATAGATTCCGAGGGAAAGCGTCAAGATTTTTGAAAGAATAATTTCCATTTCCTTTTCGGATCTATACACAACAAAGTACCTCGATTGTCTATATATAGTGACGCCGTGTCGAATTTTTTGAACGCCCAACATCATTACAGCTTGAAGTTTCCGCTCGTCAGGGCCTTGGCAGCCTTGATCTTCTTGCCGTCCACGTCCGTCAACTCTCCCTTTCGGTTGATGACCTTGACGCCACCCTTCTTCAGATCCGCCATGGTGTCCCGCTGCATCTTGGCGCGGCCGCTGAGAGCCTTGCCGGGACCGACGCCGCCAGCTTTGCGGACGCGCTCCTTCTCGCGCCGCCTCCTCCTCGTCCTGTCCTCGCGGGACATCTCCTGCTTGGCGATGGGCACGCCGCTCTTGGCGACGACCTCGCCCTTCTCGGCCGTCTTGTTGGAAGCCTTGTACACCTCCTGCGGGGCCATGTTGCTCTGCTGGCCAGCCACGCCCTGGGCGGTTGTGGGCTGGGCGTCCTCCATGGCTACCGTAGCCATGTCGGCGACGACGGAGAGCGTGGGCTCGACGGGCTTGGGGCGGTAGTGCCAACTGCTAAGGGCGTCGAGACGGGCGCTGACATCGCGCCACATGGCCTCGACCTCACGCTCCTCGCGCTGGAGCTTCTCGTCCGACTGGCTGACGTAGGTATCCGGGTTGTTCTTGCGGGCGTGCTCTTCCTCGTACACCTCTGCCAGACTCTTACCCTTGGTGTCGTCGACATCCTCAAGCATACCGCGACGTGTGCCTGTAGGGAGGCTGTCGACGCCGGGTCGGCGACGCAGGACCTCGTCGAATTCCTGGGCGAGAATGCGCCTCTTGATCAAGTCCTCGATACCCTCGGTGATTTCGGGCGTGATTACCGGTACGGGTTTGCCAACATGCTCAAAGTCAAGGTCCTCCTCGAGCAGAGAGTTCATGGGACGGTCGACGGCAGCGGCTTCACCAGACAACGTCCACTCACGCTTCGCGATTGAAGCAGCCTCAAGCTTGCGGATCTCCTCGGCGAGTTTTGCCTGTCGTCGCTCATGTGCGGAGCGGCGAGATCTGGGGTCTCCTGCAGAGACATCGGATAGGCCACCATCGGAGCCTTCCTCATCAGACTCGTCGTCGAAGAGATCACGGCGGACGTCTGCCATGGTGTTCTCCACATCGGCGTCATTAATAGGCTGGGATTTGAAAGAGACGGACTTCTTTGGTCTATCATCTCTTCTCTTCTTTTTAGGCGGAGCAAAGAAGTCTTTGTAGTACACGTCGTTGGCATTGAAGTCCATGGCCTCATCGTCCACTCCGGCTTCCAAGTCACCAGCCATGGATTCGTCGTCACTGGCACCCTCAGGGGCATCAAGGTCCATATCACCAAAAGTAGGGCCGTCGTCTTCATCGTCTTCGTCATCGTCTTGGTCCTGTGGCTTCTTGCCAGCAGAAGCCTTGGACTTGCCCTTGGGCTTAGCTGCCAGGGGATCCGCGTTCCAATCAATGTCCTCGTCGTCGCTGGCTGCGTCTGTGTTGGGATCTCCTCTTGCATCTTGTTGTTCGAACCAATTTGACTGTTTGTTGAAGTCATCCAGGGAGAAGAACCCGTCGTTGAGACCATCTGGATCAGCATCGTACTCGGCTCCCTCTTCTGCCGCCGCCTCCTCCTCGCCCTCTTCCTCGTCTTCTTGGTAGTCATCCTGTTCGGCAACAAGGCCTTCACTAGCATCCTCCCATTCGTCCTCTTCCTCATCTTCATCTTGCGCGTCAGCACTCAGCAGCTCCTCATCTTCGTCATCTGAGGCCAAAGAAGGCTCATCCGCATTGCCGTTGAGCTCCTCGGGATCAGATTGTGAATCCTCCTCGGACTCTCCCTCTATTGCGATTTCATCGTTATCCTGGAGATCTTGCAGCGCCGAGTCTGCATGCTTGAGAACGCTACCAATGATTCTCTTGGCCTGTTCCCAAACCTGGTTTGTTTCAAACCCGTCGACGTAGACTTTGCGGATCTTGAGCACCTCCTCCTTGCCGTCGGCCCTCTTCCGTTTCCGGTTCTCCTTCAATTTTTGTTCCTGCTGTTCGGCAATCTGGCCAGCGAAGCCTTCTAGGGTATCTTTGACAATGTTGAGCGACTCGGTGGGAATGGTGGCATCGGGCTGGAGGAACACATGGCGATTGGCGGATTCAAGGCGGCCCAGGAGCGTCGAGGCATTGCTCTTGGAGGCCGAAGAAAGACCCGCCATGTTTGGCAAGGCCGTGAGTGTATGCGAGGTTGAGGTCAGGGTTGGCGATGTCTCAACAGCCATATCTATCTCTTGGTTTCCGCCGTCAGCCTCGAATCAAACATTGCGCTATTCTCGAGAGACGACGAGAAAAAAAGTTGATGGGTGGGGCTAAGAGATAAGAGATAAGAGATAGAATGACTGATTGGGGAAGGGCGAATTGATGCCTCTAAGTGGTACAGGTTAGGCAGACCCATTTCTTTCGGTTACAAACAATCACCAGGTGACATAAATGATAGTACACCAAGACTACCAACATCGCATTCCGTCATGCCATATCGAGCATACGGAAACAAAATAAAGGGGCAATTTCCAATATACCGCTTTGCTTTATGACTTAAGAGATTGTTTGTAATTATCAAACATCAAAATCTAAAGTCCACGACTCCCACATCAGAGCCTGAGATGGCGATGGGGTCCGTGCCGTTTTCTGTCAGCCCAAATCAATCTCATATGACGAGTTGCTTGCAGTAGCACGTCTTTCAGCTACTAGAGATAGCTATACTATCCACTCGCCGACCGGAAATTTCCTAGCAGAGCAGTATGGGCCGGCCATGTTTACGAAAGACCTAACTACTTCTGCTGATGGACAGCATCGAGAAGGCGGAGACCTCAAGAAGAGGCGGCACCAGAAGCATTTACGGGACAGGGCATATGACACCCACTACCACCCCATCGAGCCCACCTACTTAGGCCACCAACGGATGCCATCCGTTTGCAGGTTCTGCCCTTTGTAAAGACGCCGCTCACCTGCATCGTATGGACCAACAGGTGTCGCGCATTTGGCATACTAGGTAAGATGTCTCAGTCTCTCTCCATGCGCCTGGACGGCCACCTCGGACTCTGGCCAGGAGGCTCAATCAATCCTGCGCGTACCTACACTTCTATCTCACCTCGCGCCTATTCAGAGCCATTTAGCGCATCTTTCCATCCTCCAGCGGTGCGAGTTCCACTCTGCATATTAAGTAAGACCTTGATATATTTCGACGCTTGCGTTGGCCGAGCCTATGCAGTTTGCACGGCCCAGAGCAGCTCAAGTCCCAGAATGGATATTCATTAGTCTGTATTCATCCATGCATAAGGTATCCCAAAATCCAACAAAAAAAAAAACATCCCAAGCCCAAGCTCCAAAATAAACTCCAGCCCCGGACTGAGAGGGCCGTCGCCTCGCAAGCCCGCTGCCAGCCGATGATCCCTCGCCCGGAAACGGCAAGTTTCAATGCACCCCGCTCTTCGCCCAGCAGATCCCATCTGACTTCACATGTAAAGTGCGTCTGATGGGTATCATTTACCAAATCCTAAAGTCCCCAATGCAACGTTCCAGCAGACCAAGCCAAGCAGCAGAAACCAGCTCCCACCCAACAAGAGGAGAGATGGGTGAGACAAAAACAAGGAGTAGAGAACGCTGCGTCTGTCGCCCCGCCGAGGTCGAGGACTGAAAATGAACACCAAGTGATGCAAACGCCTTGAAGCTTCGAGGCCCACCCGGAACCAATATAGATCACTAACTCGATTCCGTTAATAAGGAACACGGCCAACAGATGAGGCATGCGACTCACATTTGTGTCATACATTATAGCACTCTTAGGCATAATCTAGGGGGCTTGCTTTCATAACACCCACATGGCAACTCCAGCAAGAACTGCAGTGGACAGAAGGACTGAACCAGCGATGATGTCACCCGTCCTGTCGGCTTGGGTCGACCAAACCTCCTGGCTGTCGAGGATGCTGTAGGGGTACTTCTTCATCATCTTGAAAGGAGGTCGAGTGACTGAGCCGTCTTAGGAGTGGAACAAATATGGGAAAGTGAAGTAAAAGGAAAACACGTAGAGCCAGATACTGAGTAAGTCGCAAAGTCAAGAGGAAATAAACCGATGATGGAGCACGAAATATCAGGCAACAGACGAGGGACAACCACCAGCTTTATATTTTATCGGCTCACCTTTGTTGCATAGCCATTGGAAGGGGGGTGTGCAGCCGTCAATCGCTTCCCAGACGGAGCACCATCTGGCACCCCAGCTGATAATCATGAGAGGGGAATAAGTCAGACCCGGCACGACCATGTGAGTCCAACCCTCCCTTCTTCTGCCTTACCGGTCTGGTGTCACACATGCCAAGACGGGTCCAGCGCAGCGATTGGGTCCATTGATATGACCGGAATTGTCAACTAGTTGCTATTGTGAGTGAACAGGGTTTACGCTAGATGTGGCCAGCTTAGACCACACAATCGTACGTGGCAGGGTTGCCGAACCGGATAGTCATGGCTCATATCATGAATAATCTGGTGATCAGGCACACCCAAGACCAAACCCTTGGTTCCAATATAGAATCCCTGTGCAATTTATAAATTAAATGGCAAGTGTATTCACAAAAGGCTGACTCTATCAAGGGGGGAAAGAACGGTGTAAAACTTCGCCACATGCGCCGCGTCGAACTGAACGACTCTAGAAACCCGAGCAATCACCAAAACAAGAACAGGGCAGCCAAGTAATGGAAGAATCGTCTGGGTAAGAAAAAAATGTAAAACAGGATAGAACCCCTCCAGTTTGTAGGTCGATTAGGCGAAACTCCATGGGAGAGGCGCGCTGGTTTATCATAAATATATCAGCGAGAGGGGGACTCAAAATCCTCTCCGGCCACCCGTGCTCATCAGGGTGATCTTCTGTTTCTTCTTCTTCTTTCCGCCTCCCCCAGCGCCGTTTGGAGTTCCGGTGGAGGGGCCAGCAATCGCCTTGCCCTTACCAGTATCCGCACTCTCAAAAGCGTTCAAAGCTTCCATTTGGGCCGCTAGCTCAGCTGGGCCCAAGAAATCTTCGTCCTTGAGCCATCCATCATCCCCGGAGTCAATGTGTGTCGCCCCGAGTTCAGGAGACTGCGCCACGACACGAGTTCCCCACACAGTTCTCTGTGTGGAAGGGCTGGTAGACATGGACGCCAAGGTTTCGAAGCCGGGACGGGGGTCGGGCGGAGTGGCATCACTATGCCCTCCCAGAGGTTGAAACTCCGACATATCCATAGCGGGCGGCTTCTCGTCGTCCAAAGGTCCAACAAGGTGTCGAGACCCCGCCGCCGCCCGCATTGAAGCTGCCTCGATGCGCTCCGCCTGTACGCGCTCCCTTTCTTCCTGTATTGCCTTGTCCCGATTACGCTTTCGACGTCGTTCAATTTCTGACTTGAAAGAATCAAGCGTCTCTGCCGGAACAATATCGGTCCAGTCGCATTCCAGAAACGTCACCACACAGCCACGAGGAAGATGGCCCAAGTATTTAGCTCGCTTGCGCATGGCATCGTCGACAACGTGTCCGGTTGAAATGTGTTCGACTCGAGGTAGGAGGGTTGTCGGGAACGACGAGAAGTTTCCGTATTTTGTCTTGAGAATGCGAATGTCCAGAGGCGAAAGGTAAAGGTGCGGCGGTGAGCTGTAGAAATAGAAATCTGCCTCGGTCGAGGGGTTGGATAGCTTGCCCGGAGCAACGACACTGGCAGCGGTGATATCTTTAAACGGTTCCAAGCGCTCCTTTGCACCCTCAATTGCTCGGACCGCCCGCTGTGTCCATTCCCCATCAAGGCCAAACAATGTTTCATCCTCCTTCTCCTGCTGCTTTAAAGCTTGAATCTCCTCGTCATACTGCTCAATCATGTAGTCGCTTGTGCCTTTCATGATGCGGGCGTAATCGAACACGTTCGCGGCAAAATGCCATGGGATATCTGATCCGGAATGGAAGGCCTCGGCTCCAGATTCGCTTGGGAGGGCAAGCGTGGAGTCTGCGTTCCTTGCCATGAGCCGAAGAACGACGTCGTCACCCACCCGAGGCAGAGGACTCTCCTGGCCGGCGTAGAATCGCACTGGACGAGTTTCATGTAAATAGATGGAGTCTTCACAGATGGGACATTTCTTCCACCTCGGCCCTTTACTGGACTTGGATTCTTCCTCACTCGAGCTTGAATTCATAAAGCGAATGAGGCATGAAAGACAGAAAATATGACCGCATTTGGCCATCCGAGGAGCAACAGGGTCGGAAAGACAAATTGGACAAGAGGTGACCTGGGACTGTGAAGACGCAATGACTTGCAGGACATTGTTCCAGTCCAGATGCAGGTCGGCATCGCTCGCATGATCGGCGTATGAAATTTCGGGAGAGACGACAAAACGGTAGTTTGAATGCACGTATCGGGACTTGTCGGATGCGTGATACCCTGACCCAGGACCCCAGGTTGGATTCCGACGATATGATCTCGCATAGGCGCTGTGGTCTACGTATGGTCGCGGCATCGAATAATTGAGAAGGTGCGTGATCGACGTCTGGCCCCGTCGACTGTTGGGGTTTCTGACAGCGCGAATTTCATCCATGGCGTCGCTGGCGTCTAAACCACGATTTGTCCTCGGTTCGGGCCCGGGGCGATGCTGGTCTCGATGCTTCTTACGAGAAGCTTGTCCTTTGCGAGGAACGGGGGTGGCGTTGGAAGGGCCAGACTGACCGGGTCGCCGGGAGGCCTCGAAACTCAAGGTCGCTGGCCCTGCCTGGTTCGAGGAATGGGTTGATGAGGATACCGGCAAAGACTTGCCCAGGACTGAGTTCGAAGGATTCATGATCGACCTGACAAGTAGATGGGAGGAAAGAGCCGGCGTGAGGGGTAGGCCGTTGACTCAATCATTCAATCACTGTCGTTTTAGCCTCGATACGGGTGGAGGCTGAAGGGCATTCCCACATCGACCTCCAGAGGCGTGCTGCAGCAACAAGGGCAACGACCCAAGCATAGGAAAACGAGGAGAAAGATTGAGAATGAGTCAAGCGATAAGAGAACAAGACGAGGATGATACGGCTTCCCTACGGGGGCCCAGCTCGAACGGACCCCAATGGCTCTTGGTGGAGAACTGCTGATCGCGTTACCGTGCCTGCTGGCGGGGCAGGCGTTGGATGACCTCCAAGCATTGGCGGAGGCGGACCAGTAAAATTCCGGCGAACGCACACGACTGCAGGGTAGGCCATCAGTCAGCAGACTCTGCCGAATCAGAGCCATGCCTCAAGAGCTGTATGATATCATGCACACGCCGGCCAATGACCAGCACCACACGCTGCCCTTCTTTGTCTGAATGGACAGAGAGGTGCGCAGTATGTAGGTCAGTTCAATTCAACTGCATTAAGAGTGTCCGTTTTCCATCAATGCGCACACAGGTCAGGGATATTTGATTTAGATAAGCACTATGAATTAGATACATGGGAGAGGTAAATCCAGCGCGCGCCAGACGAGCAAACACTTGGTCCTTGTGCTTCTACGCATGGGGGAGGGGGAATAATTGGACACGTGAATATACATACCGCAATAAACCAGCCAAAACAAAATGATCATTGCAAATTATACCTCCAAACATTACATTCGTTGAGCATCCTCATCCATTCCAATCAGTTCTTATCGGTGATTTTGTGCTTAATCTTGCTGAGAATCGCGCTGAAGCGGTTTTTCTTCTTCTTTTCCGTGGAAGCAGCCTCGGCTGTCTTGGATGCTTCGGGCTTGCTTCCAGTGCCGTTCGATGCCCCAGCACCGTTGGAAGCGGCCTCGACCTTTGGTGCTTCAGCGCCATTGGAAGCAGCCTCGGCCTTGGGTGCCTCAGCGCCATTGGCTGCGGCTTCGACCTTTGGTGCTTCGGCCTTGGGGGCCGCCTCAGCCTTAGGTACCTCCGCAACCTTGGGAGTCTCCTCAATCTTGGGGGTCTCCTCAACCTTGGGTACCTCCGCAATCGCAGGTGCTACCGCAGTTGTAGGTGCTGCCGCAGTTGTGGGTGCTGCCTCGGTAGCCTGGGCAGTCTTGGCCCCAGTGACAGTTGCGTCGCTAACAGCAGGCACCTCCTTGACTTCCTTCAGCAGCTCAGCTTCGACCTCCTTCTTGTCTTCAACGGCAACAGCGTTGGCAGCAGCCTCGGGGCTCTTCGCAGCCTCGGTGATGGACTGCTTCACCTCATCTGGAACTTCGGGAGCAATCTGTTCGCGGATCTCCTCCTTGTTGTGAGAGGCCAGAACTTGTTGAGCAGATTCGGGCAGCGTCTCCTTGACAGAGTCTGGCAAGTTCTTGTTGGCAACATCGACGGCTGTCGTAGCGGCCTGGTCAGCGGCAGCGGAAGCTTGGTCAACGACAGGAGCGGCCTTGCCAGTGACAGTTGCTGCTGCGGCGGTAACGGCTGCAATGACAGCGCCACCAGCCGTGGCTGCAACTGCTGCAATGGTGCCAGTGTTCTCGGACTTCTCCGTGCCCAAACCAGAAGTACCCTCAGAGGTTGAGGGGGCCTCTGGCACCTTGGCCTTGAGCTCCTCCTCGACGGCAGCCTTTTCCTTCACCTCTTCGGCAATGGCGCTTGCCTCGGGGGGCACACCAGCCTGCTCTTGGCTCTCCTTGACGATTTTCGGAACCTTGGGCTCAAGGGGAACATTGCCAGCCAAGATAGCAGTGGTGGCGGTAGGTGTAACTGAGTTGATAGTGGCATCACCAACAGGCAACCCGGACTCAGGAATGATGTTCTTGGAAACGGCGGGAACTTCAGTCTGAACGCCAGGGAGGGTATCGCTCTTCTCATACGACTCCTTGTCAAGCTTCACATTCGCATTGATATCTTGGGCAGCCACAGACTGGGGGACCTTCTCCCCAGGCGCAAGCTGAATTGGGTTCACAGCACCAGCGGCGGCCGGGAGAGGGTTGATGCTGACAGGCTTCTCTGCTTCGGCGGCAATGGCAGCGGGGAGGCCACCAGGGAGCGCGTCGCTCCTCTCGTAAGACTCCTTGTCAAGCTTCACATTGGCATTGAGATCTTGGGCAGCCACAGACTGAGGGACCTTCTCCCCAGCCTCAACCTTGACAGGATTCACAGCGCCCTCAGCCGCAGGGAGAGGGTTGATACCCACAGCCTTGTCCAATTCGGCAGCAGGAGTAATGGGGAAGCCACCAGGAATATCAGCTGGTGTGGGAACCTCCTCAGCGTCCTTCGACTGTGTGGTCTCCGAGGTCGCAAGAGAGTCTTGGGACTCCTTGTTCTTATTGTTGTTCTTGCTCTTCTTATTCTTCTTCTTCTTTGATTGTTGGCCTGCCATCGCTGCAGTTGTGGAGTCGGGCGTTACTGTGTTGATCAGAGCCGCGGCGGTAGGAGGTGTGATGATTTGCTCGGGTGTAAGAAAGTTGTTGATGTTGCCGTCGTGGTCAGGCTCCTTGGGTGCAGAGTCGTTTGTTGTCCAGGTGTTGTCGACAACGAACTAGACAGATTTCAATCAGCCTCGAAGGCACTGGAAAGTGGGTTGGTGGGCTAATTTAAAGGATTCAGGTGTTGGTGTATACAGGGACAAGGTTAGGAAGGTCGAGAGTTTAAAACAAGCCACTCGGCCTTGAATGCCGATCCAAACCTTCCCAATTTTGCGCTCAGGGAAAGCTTGTCACAGCGCCGGTAAAAGTCTCCGATGTCTTGGGCAAATTGGAAACATTGTGTGCGCATGCCAAAGCTGGCTGGTCGCAAAGGGCACGAGGCAGGATGAGGGCGCCGCTGCTTTCGAGTAGGGCCAAACCCAAGGGATCCGCAGCGTAGATCAATTGGCTTAGCATTTCTCGTTCAGGTGACTTCGCTAACGTCGCACACTGCGCACAATCACTCGACCAAAGGCTGTGCAACTGCGGGAGGCATGTGTAGCGGCCAATTCATAACATTGTTGGGGGGGGATTGGAATGCGTTGCGCTGCGACGAGACAGTGAGGGGCGGTGATGTGACGACGGGGGTTGGACAAGACAGGCATGTGTGCAAAAGCGCCAAGTGAAATCAAGCAAAAGCAGGGCAAAAGACAAGCAACCAAGCAAGAACTTGGATAGGATTAGAAGCGCCAATGGTGGGCGCAGAGAAAGAAGGGGATTCTTGGATGTCACACACCTTGTAGTAAATCTTCTTGGAGGCGTCCTCGAGCTCGACGGTCTTCTGGAAAACGTCGCCGTCCTTCTCAAGCTTGACACTCTTGGTCCAGTTATCAAAGGTGCCGGTTACGTAGACCTCTTCGGCAGGGTGTTCCCTAGGTGAAGGAGCTCTGGGTCAGCGCATATGCAGGGAGGAATGTGGTCGCGTGTGGCTCCTGTTGCTATGGAGCGAAACAGACCAACAGTGCGCTTCGCGAGGGGCCGGCAGGTACTCACCACTTGAAGGTGTGGCTTCCCATGGTGACGGCAAGCTCGATAGGTATTGTGTATTATGATGTAGGATGGTGGGCGCGTCTGGCTGGATACGGGAGCTGCTAGTGCAGGAGTGTCGAGCTCTGGGAGATCGGGAGAAGCAGATGGAAGAAAGTTTGCGAAGCAATGCAGCACAACAGACGGCTGGCAATACAAGCAAAGCAAGCAGCAGGAGCAAGCAGAGCAGCGCAGCGCAGCGCAGGTTAGATCAGGTCAGGTTCAGGTAGGGCAAGACACGGCAAGACGCCAGGCAAAGTTGAGGAAGTGGCGGGGGCGGGCGAAATTAAAGCTTTCCACTTTCATACAAGGATGGAACGGCCCAACAACGCGCATCGACTGCGATCGATTGATGGCTGCACCTAACCCTGGCACGACACCCAACGGTGCTACTCACAGCGCGGCCAGCGGTCAATGGCCTGAGGCGGCAGGGGGAAATAAAGGTGCAAAGATCTCGGGCTGCGGAGCTGGAATGGACGGAGTCTCGTACGACGCAGCCAGCTCGCAAAATGCGGTGATGATGCAATGGATCTAGAGGGCAGGGGCCTAGCTGTAAGTTTTCCGCGAAGAATCACTACCTAGAGCAGAGTGCCTGAACCTGCCTGGCCCCAGTAGGCGCTGTCTGACCGTCTCCAGCTGTTCGCATCCGTCACAGCAAGCTCCCCACCCACCTGCCCAAAGCGACACTCGCTGGAGCCTTCTACTGGCTTCTGCTGGGCAGCCAGACATCCTGCGCGCACTTTGGCCCCTGCCCAGATGTGAGTAATCGGTATGCTAGATAAGGTAGGTCTGCCTGCAAATTTGTTGGGGCTTGTCATAGGAGTTCTTGACCCAGTTGGGCTGCAAGCACGTAGATTGCGCGACGGCGAGAGTCCAGACCGCCCGCCTCTTCTCCAGGCCACAGGCCAGCGATTAGCGGCAGGCGACCGGGTCGCTACGCGTCATTGAGCTCCACACAGCGATCAGCCTCCCCTTGACTGACCTGACAGCATCTGATCCCAGCAAGCCCAGCCATCAATTTGCTTTGCCATCACAGCCGTGCCATGGCAAGCTCCCAGCCTCATGCAGGGGACTGGCGCCGGGCATCTTTGCATAATACAGATATCTATCCTGGCGATCCGAAAACACGGTCTGGGTGTTCAACCTCCTCCCAGCAGCAAATGAGCCGCGGCTTCTCCATCACCGGCTGCTGCTTACTCAGTTGCTGATTGCTTGAATCAGGCTCCCGTCACACCATCGAAGCTTGCTTAACCCGCAAGGCTGACACTCCATTGGTTCTCGTCCACGTAGTAGCGACAAGCAATCAAGTGACCAGTTCAACCTAATAGCAGTTAAGAGTCAATGTGCGAACCGAAAGAAAACCATTCAATATTTCACTATATTGTTAACGAGGATGTAGGACTGAGACTACATCTAGATGTAGTTGTGAACCGAGGATAATTACATCTCGGTAGAGTCTATCAGCATCAGTACCATTGTTAGTACATAGAACCCAACCACTTCACCCAGCAACCCATTTCACAGCTCCTCCTTTCCTTCAGCACTCTTTGCTTCCTTCTCTTCGGCACTCTTGGTCTTTGCCTTTAGCGCTCGTGCAGTCACCTTAAACTCGGCCTTGTTATCGAAGCCCGGCGACTTGTGCTCAGCCCAACCTACCACGTTCCCCTCTGCAACCTCAGGCTTGTACTTGGTCAAGTCAAGCAAGTCGTCTGTTGACATCATAGGTTAGCTAAGGCTTATTCCATCAAACCGGGTTGAGTTTCTTACCTTTGCATTCACTGTCCTCAGCCGCCCAAAGGGGAAGAGTATGGTAGATGACTCCCGGTGCGAAGATCGCTACCCGGTTTTCGTCCTGGCTTCTGTCCACCTTACTGGCACTTGGCACTGCAACCACGTCGTCCACATCATCATCGTCTGACTTGGGTTTCTCAAATACTCCAAAGTATCCCTTGCCCGGCCCATTTGTCCGCTCTTGCTCCTCAATCCATTCACGGACTGCCAGTGGGATGTCTGTGTAGTCCATCCGGAGGACAGCGCGGTCGTACCCGTGGCGGTCGAATCCCGACCAGCCTCCAGGGTACTCGCGTTGTGAGAAGAGTTTCTTGAGCCCTCCAGCCCACTGCTTCAGACCCCGGGGAGCTGGCTCCATCAACTCGTGCAGGCTGTACTCGTACATCTTGAATTGCTTGACGGCCTCGCACGACCCGTCAAACGCCGCGATCTCGCTAGACTTGAGCAGGTTCTTCCAGAGCCAGCCCTCGGTCAGAGTTGGGTCAACCCTTGGCGGGGCATCTTTGTTGATGGCCTCTACCGAAGTTGCCATCAAGGCGGCTACGACAGGTAGGGCCAAGAGTCTCATGATGGTATAGGGTATTCTGGGGCTGCCACGGATGGGGAGCTATTAATCCAATTGAATTCGATGTAACCTAGCAAGCAAGTATCCTTTCAATAAGCTTATGCTGGTTGTCGTCTGATCTAGTAAGGTAAAAGACATACTCACAAGGACGATAATACTATCGTACATGTTCCCCGCGGCGTCAATAAATACTCTTTTGAACGGCACCGCAAACCACCTCACTTCAATTCAATGCTTTGCTGTCCTCATCGGATCCTGATGCCTCCGTCTTTCCAGATTAGATGAAACGTCTCTCGGGCGCAGCATCTCATTGGCGGACGGGGTCAATGTCACGGATGCGCATGCCATGTGCGCTGGATTTGCCGACCGAGCGAGCGGGTGGGCGGCCAGAAGGTCCGGGACGAATCCCTGCTGCCTCACCTGTTCACTCAAGAAGCTGTTCGGCATCCTGGTCCGGGGCGAGTCGTGCCAATCAACCCTATTTGTCCTTTCGTCTCGTGCGGAGTTGGTGAGGCTCTGGTAGTCGCTCGCATGAGCTGCGGGGAACTTGATTGACATGTGTTCTCATCAGTGGGCAGATGTCTCACTAAAGGGACAGAGCGACATCTGGCCCTGACGATCAGTGAGTGGTCATATTTGCAGGTTGGGCATTCACCGGGTGCGAACTGAAAGCAGAGCAAAGACAAAATTTCTTGATTAACCCGCTACATAGCTACATAATCCATCATTATATATGAAAGAAAGAAAAAAAATCCTGTTAGCTTTTTTTTTATCAGTGTCCCAAGTCAAACTTGGCGAGAGTAGACCCATCCGACCACTTTCACATTCACTAGATTTGTGTCGAAAGTAAACACATCATGGCACCTTCATGTAAGAGGACCATGCTACAGCCTCTATTCGGTGCTTAAGTAGAGAGGAGGTGTACAGCTACACCAGAGACACGCTCTTGCTAAGCTTGACTGTGACTGGGGAGCCGTTCATGGTGACCCAGATGATGACGGGCTCGGTGCCGACCTTGTCGGAGGTGGAGGAGCCGCCCTCGGTGGTGGCCGAGTCGACGGGGATGGTGACGGGCACGGGGACGCCGCAGGTGTTGCTGTTGGTGGTGACGGTGGCGGACTGGATGGACTTGCCGTCCGAGCTGTATGTGTAGGAGAGCTTGGGCTTGCAGTTGTCGAGAGTCTCGCGGTCGACAAAGTACTTGCCAACATCGTCGTGCTTGAGCGAGGTGATGGGCCAGTCGGTGAGGCGGTACATCTCCTGGGCGATGGTCTCGACCCAGGCCATGACCAGGGACATCTTGGCAGTCTGAGAGCCGACGGTGATGGTGGGCATATCCGTCTGGCGGAGGTTGGCCTGGTGGAACATGTAGGGGTCGGCCTGGAGGCCGAGTAGGTAGCGGGAGTTGGTCAAGCGGGCGTCGTTGAGGAGATCGGTGAAACCACCCTTGCCGGCAGAGGTGTCGATCCACTCCTTGACGGTGCACTCGGCAGAGTCGCAGTTGTAGTAGATGGTGGTGGCGTAGCGGGGGATGATTTTGAGGCCGGCGTAGCCGTTGGCGGCGACATTGGTGGTGAGGGCGTGGAACTTGCTGTTGGGGTTCTTGAGGACAGGGCGAGTGTTGTCACCAACCACATACCGGAGACCGTTGTCCATCCAAGCCTTGATAGCATCTCCGTTGTGCAGTCCAGTGATGGCGGGGGGGATCAGGCCCTGAGCAGAGAAACGTCTGGCCTGGTCAATGCCCATCTGTTTCATCCAAGCCTGGTTGAAGTGAATCTCACGGGTAGCGTCGTGATAAGTGGCATTATTCAACTCAAGGTGAGTAAAGGTGTGAGACAGATGAGCAAAGTGGTTGAGGTTGTCCGAGTTCAGGAACCAGGCAGCAAAATCGTCCAGCTTTGCACACTGCTGAGTCCACTCATACTGCTCATACGCGGCAGGCCACTGGTCAGAACCACTGCCAATGGGCTTCTGGAACTCGAGGGGAGTGTCAGGAGGGTAAGGGTAGTCAACAGGGTCCTCAGGCTTGCAGACAGATGAGGCCGTAGGCTTGGTTACAGCAGCAATGATATCACCGTTTCCGTTATGACCAAACTCAAGCCAGAAGTCGGAGCCCTTGGGCAGACGACCGTTGATGTTGGTTTGCCAGGTGGCGTGAGCCTCAACATCTCCAATGCGAGACTTGAATTCAGCGCCACTGGGGTAGTACATCTCAGTAGCGAGCTGAACATCGTCGATCTGGGTGCTGAGATGAATCTTGCGCTTGCCAACAAAGAGACCACGAGTAAGCCAGTGAACGTGGGCATGCTGGAGGTAGTTGGAGGTGGCAGACCAGTCGGTAGCCCAGCCGGTGAACCAGACCATCTGCTCACGGCCATTGAAGTTGTTTATGACACCTGCAGTCGTCTCAGTTGAGAAACTTCCGCCCGCGCCAAACTTGGCAATCTCCCAGGTGGTGGCAGGGTCGGTAATGACAGCAGGATAATGCCACAGTCCGCTGGTGGTTACTCCAGCGTTGCTATACCAAGAGTCAGTGGGAAGTCTAAGGGTAAATGGTTCCATGCGGTCAACTTACGTCTTGAGGTTGGCAGAAGGGAAGGCAGTGGTGTTTGAGAAACTGACGAGTTGGTCAACACCAGTAGAACAGCAGCCACCACCGTTGGCATCAGCAGTCTTGGCACCTTTTCGCAAACAATGTATTAGTTAACGCGTCCCCAGGATATAGGTCTTCTTGATAATGTCGACATACCGAAAGCAGGTCCGGGAAACTCGTCAATACGGACGAGACGGACAGAGTAGTTGCCCTGATAGGCGTAGATGTCATTCCACTGAGCATCGGTCAAGGCACTCTTCCAGGTTCCAGAGTAGTCATAAGAGACAGCACCCATGACAAGGATACCGGCATATCGGCCATTCTTGTCCCCGCTGGTGAGCGCGGGGAGAGCGACGCCTGCCTGAGGCACAAGCAGAGTCTCGAAAGGGATGCCATAGGCCTCAAAACCAGAGCTTCCAACGGCGGCAGAAGCAGCATCACGGGCCAAGACGAGGATGGTGCTGTCGACAGTGGCACCGGGAAGAGCATCGGCAGATGGGAGAGGGGCAGGAGAAGAAGCAGCAGAGGGGATGACAGAGATGGTGGTCAACGGGTTGATGGAGGGGAAGGCTGAGACGATAGGAATAACCTCGCTGGCAATGGGCTGTGTGGCAGCACGAGAGGAGACACCTGTGACCCCGCCAGACGACACGGAAGCAGATGTCACGACAGCAGAGGTGGCAGCAGCAACCGCAGAGCTCCTGGAGGAGGTGGTCACTGGAGAGCTGCTAGTGGTGCTGCAAGTGGCCAGACCCAACGTGCAGGCCAGCTGGCCGATGACACCGCCGAGGACCATCTCGAAGGCAGGTAGAGCCGAGTGTATCACTCAGCCAAAGAAGGGCAAGAAAAGAACGAATGAAACAAGTCAAACTGTTTGAACGAGGGAAAATGAAGATCTCATGAAGCACAATGAGGATATTTCCAAACAATTCGTGGGCGAGGAGCTGACCTTGATATACTTGCTTACCTGCTCTACTACCTACGGTGTAAGTCGCAACTACGACTATCCAGGACCTTACATGGAGAGCGTTCAGCGCGGGCAATACAGTCAAGACAAGTCCCACATTGTCTCTCCCTCACGGATAAAACGGCTTCTTTTTGATCAGCAGCTGGCAAAGGTTATCGTGAGATCCATGCATGTTAGCAGTAATCCTGGTCAAGTTTGTGGTGGCATGACTGGATGTGGCAGCAGCAGCGAGTGAGCGCCCTGCAGGCGAAAAGCAAAATATTGACTCCAAGCCACCAAACACGAACAGCTGCCGCAGTGCTTTGGCCTTCAAAGGGTCAAAGAACGGCGGAGCTGATCCGCTGTCCTGACACCACCCGCATTCACGATATGTATGTCGCCTCCACTTAGAAAGTCTCACATTCCGCTTCCCCAATCGAAATGGAGGAGGCAGCAGGGGTGCCTGTTGTTTGGGCAGGATATGGATGGGCATTCTTACATGGAAGCTGGCATAGTGGGAGGGGGACTGAGCGTGAACGACGAATCAGCCCTGGAGTTACAATCTATCCCCTCGTTTCGATCACTGATCGCCAGCCAGCGATTGGAATACACATGGCGACCTGGAGAGCATGGATTAGGTTACCTACTGATTTCAGAGAGATCTACGATTTAGTCAATTCAGGCTAGGGAATCTTTATCCGGAACAGAGTGGCCTACCCTCAATGCTTGTAGGGCATAAGCAGCAATCAAACCTCCATTAGGGTACAGCAAACATCGATAGAGAGACAATGAGAACATGGCGTGTTGTCGGGGCCCGCTGGTCGATTGATTGGTGCGGGAAGAGGAACATTGTAAGAATTAAGGTGCAATGGCGCGTGAGAGGTTCGCTTCAAAAGCTCGTATTCAAAAGTCGGACAAGGAACTAGGTTCAGAGAGGCAGAGTCGGCATAACACAGCGTTTGCCAAAGTGCGTTTGTGGAGATGGAGTGGTGAGCGCTCGAGCGTCCATGGCATCGGAACAGCGTCTGAGGTGCGACACAGAGTGAGATGCGATAGGGCGAGCTGCGGGTTGGTGTAGGACTAGCAAGACGCGAACCAAAGGCCACAACAGGGATCAGCTGAAGCCGACGGCGATGTACCGGTACAAGATCTAGATGGCGGGTCACTGGGGTGAGACCTGGTCCAGTGTTTATTCAGCGGGGGCTCGCCAGGGGGAGGGTGAAGGAGGGTGGCAGGGTAAAAGGGGCAGGGAGGGTGAGCGACAACGCACACTCTGACGCTCTCACCACCGACGTGCAGGACAAGCTGCAGGACGCTGTCCCGACACCGAATTGACGTGCTTCTAGGCCTGAGACAGGTCATCCGTGGTCTGTTTCTGACCCGCGTGTTGCTTTTATTAGGCCAGGGCTGGTGCAACACGAGCAAACAAGTGGGTTTGGGTGACCATCGGAGGCAGATACGAATTCCAGCCCATCCCGACCCCGCGCGAGCCCCCTTCTCCCCTTCTCGAAGGCGCGACTGCAGCGAGCGAGTCAACTTGCCAGTTCGCTGCCCCTGAGATGAAATGATGATGTCTCGAGCGGACCAGCGGCGGATGGCAGTGGGCACCTTGGCCGGCGCCACGAAATTAAATAACGAAAACCGGTACGATTTAAGAGACGCCACAAACCAATATTCAGGTACCCGTAGCCCTTGGCGGTGTTAGCGCACGTTGGCGCTTGCCAGTGACACAAGCGGCTACAAGGCGAGCATTCAGGTGAGGTGGGAATGAATGGGTGGAAGAGATTTCACCGATGGAGCGGGCACTGGTTCAGCTCGGCCATCGAGTCAATCGAAAACATGATTTTAGTCTTACTAGGAAGCTTACCTGCTGGGCCAGCTCAACTGCCGAGAGCGAGAATCTCGTAAGGCTAAACAATAAATATTTTCACGGGAGACAGGGGGTGCGTGGCCTGAGGGTCGGCGCTGAGAACAGGGCGCGTTTTGAGAAGTCTTGAAAGAGGCATCTGTGGAGATGGCCTGAAGCGCTAGAACCATGGCACGGGCTCCCAATTGGGACCAGCACTCACGTATTCGGCCAGCCGCATCCAGGCGATGCCAGCTGGAACTCCGGATGCATGCACCGACTGTGCTTTGAACAAATCTGCGCCTAGTGTCACCTGAAACCCGCATTTGATCGCCCACAGGCCCAAGCCGTGCGCTGCCCAAAGCGAGCCTGAGCAGGCCCAGCGCAGAGCCAAGAGCCAAGAGCCAAGCGCCGATTCACGTCTGGGCTCCAGGCGCTGGCATCGAGACACTGGTGCACAGCTACAGCGCTGTTAGTCTAGATCCGTGCCGTGTCTCGATAGGTTACAGGCCTGCAGCGCAGTATTGCTGCGGACTGCCACTAATGTTTGCCTGCCCCGGCGCTCTCGGCCAGTCATCCAGGCGCCTAGGCCACCGTCCCTGTATCCGCTGTAGCGCTCACAGCCGCTATTGCTGCACGTACTGTGCTGAGCGCTCTAGTGCAGGTCGACAAGTGAGTGCCAAGTCGAGACTCATTTCGCCCAAGATTAATCGCAAGCAATTGGCCGCGTTGATCTTTCTTTCGTCGCCCTCTCCCAGCGCTTCCGCACCGGGCCTTTTGATGCCAGACGTCGCAGTCTTGTAGGTCCAAGTCCACGAGCACCCAGGCTCAGCCGTCCAAGAATAGGGCTATACGCCAGTGAAGACTTCCAGACACAAAGCCCTAAGGCCTAGACTTCAGTAGAACGGCAATCCGGCCTTGTGTCCAAGCAGCCACAACGCCAAGACCAGTGGCTCAGAAGGACGCGAGGTCCCTTTGCAGGACCATCCTCATTATTATTATTACATCCTGCAGACAAAAGGCAGACTCGTGGGCGAATCTCCCTTTAAGCTATCTGGGGTGGCCGGACGTTAAAAACAACTCTATCGGCAGTTTTTCCCACTGCCGTCAACTAGTCTGCAGCGGCTATCTCTATTTGCAAGCCTCGTTATCTGTCTCCCTTCTCTCATCCACTCGTTTCAAACTGTTTGTTTGTTTCCCGAGGGCATCATGTTCGGCTTCGGAAAGGACCAGTCCCACACCAAGATCGATGCGGTGGAGAAGCCGCAGCGATGGTGCACCTTTCGCAGGAAGATGCTCGTCCTTGTCGGCGTCGTCCTCGTCCTCGTCATCGGCCTCGCTGTAGGGCTGGGTGTAGGCCTGACTCGAGGCAAGGGCGGCGGCGACGATGATGGCAGCGACGACGGCAGCCACAACAAGTCGAACAACACCGACGTGCCAACGTCCGGCCCCGACCGGACTGAGATCTGGAAGCCCAAGCCCAACACCTCGTGGCAGATCATTCTCAGATACCCTGCCGATATCAGCTCGAGCAGTGTCATCAGCCCAGACGTGGATGTGTATGACCTAGATCTCTTTGATAACCACATCACCACCTTTAAGACTCTGCAGGACAGCGGTAAGAAAGTCATCTGCTACTTCAGCGCCGGTTCTTACGAGGACTGGAGAGAGGACAAGGGCGAGTGGGATGAGAAGGACCTGGGCAAGGGCCTCGAGGGCTGGGCCGGCGAGAAATGGGTCAATGTGTCCAGCCCTAGCGTCCACAAGGTCATGAAGGAGCGCATCAACCTCGCCTGGAGGAAGGGATGTGATGCCATCGACCCTGACAATGTCGACGGATACGTAAGTACTTACTCGCCTTCTCATTGGGGGTGTCACGAACCCGACGTTCAAGTCTTTCCAGGTAGCTAACCAGATTGCCCCAGCAAAATGACAATGGTCTTGGTCTCACAGAGCAAGACTCCGTCAACTACATGAAGTTTCTTTCTGAGGAGGCTGGAAAGTACAACATGTCCATCGGCCTGAAGAACGCCGGCGACATCATCAGCGAGGTCATCGACGTGATTCACTTCTCCGTCAACGAGCAGTGCATCCAGTACTCTGAGTGCAAGACCTTCTCCGCCTTCATTGACGCTGACAAGCCCGTCTTCAACATCGAGTACCCCGACAGTGCTCCCAGTGTCGCCACCACCGAGAAGGACGAGATCTGCTCCAAGAAGGGCAAGGCTGACGGGACCGAAGGGTTCAGCATCGTCATCAAGAAGATGAACCTCGACGGCTGGGTGGAGTACTGCGATGGGAAGACGTATGAGACAAAGGTGAACAACACCAGCAGCTCGTAGCCAATACACGGATCGTCTCACTTGAATATCCAGGGCCCTCTTTTTTTTCATGTTCAACCACTGTTATGTGGAGCGATGTTTTGTCTATTGTCTGGCCCAGCGACCTTCTCCGACACTGTTTTCTCAAATTTTCATTTAAGCTTGTAATAGATCCATGCCCGCCTTTACCATGGTAAAATACTTGGAAATAATATATTCTTGTGTCCTAATTCTATTCATCCAACCATGCCTGCCCTCTCTGAGAAGAAACAAGATTGGAAAGATTAACATTACAATCTATAATTATTTCATATCTAAGCGCTCGCGGTCCCAACGCGATCAAGGAAGTGATCCCACGCCTGCGGCCACTTGGTGAAGAAGCCTCCTACCTGCTCGGTGATGTAGATGCCCCCCAGCGACTTGGACTTTGCCTGCTGGACCAAGTCGGAAATCTCCTCGTCGGAGTCGCATGTGTGGATGATGACAAGGGACTTGGGGCAATGGTCGGGCGCGAGGGTTTCAATAGCGCTCTTGACATCCTCGACGTTCCAATGGGCCGCAGACTGCTCGAACGTGACTACATAGTCGGCGGAGTCAAAGTAAGACGCATGTGCGACGACGCCAGGGTTGAGGATGTTGATGCTGCGCCGGCCGAGCGCGCCCTCCCACGACTTGCTGGTGTACTCTGTCAGGCTAGCCATGTATGCAACCTTGTCCGAGCTGGAAGGGGCCTCGTCGACAAAGATACCATCGACCCTGAACTGGTCGTTCCAGCCCAGGTAGACGTCAATGTCCCGCCGGATGTCGTCAACCGGGCGGCTGCCATAGGTGCAGTGGACGTAGCCGATTACGTGAATATTGCAGACTGCATTCAGCTCACGCAGGGCGGCCGCATAGCTTGCATCGGGCAGTGCGGAATCGCCGGGACCGTTATGGGGGTTGACGATGACCAGGAATCTGACGTTGGGATGGGTCTTGGCTGCATGGAACAGAGGCTCCCAGGCCTTCTCCAGTGGATATATGTACAAAGGTACGATTACGGAGAGGGATGGTGAGGAAGTCATGGCCGGCTGATTGGATGAGCGAGTTTTGGCGAGGGTAATGTCACTTCTCTGACTTGAACCGAGAGCGAGGTTTTGGAGGGAGGGCCAGAAGCACACTCACCAAAACAGATGGAGGGGCGTGGGTGGAGGGGAGTGAGGTAGCAATTGGCCGGCTAGGCGGCTCTCTCCAGCTGCTGGAGAGAAGAAAGATGCAATGCACAAGCAGAAAGAAAAATAAAAAACGGACGCAAGATTCGAGACCACTGCAGTAGTGACAGCTGCTGCTGCACAGGCCAAAAGTTCGTTCTAGTGATGATTGAAGTGTGGTGTTCTGGGTAGGGGCAGAGACAAAGGCAAGCGGGGGAGGAATGTCTCATTCAAGAGAGATGGGGCAATGCTATCAATGGGAGCGGAAAAAAAAAAGTGATCGACGTCTTTGTTCTCCCTTTTGCCGGCGGCATTATAACGTCGCACTTGGCACCCTTTCATATACCAGGTGATGCACTTGGCGTTGCGGACTCATCGACGCGCAAACAAGCTGAAGGGAAGTGCCTGTTGGTTGCGCTGAGTCGGCCCCTTGTGGCAGTGCGCCATGTCCGTTTTCGTCTGTGTCTACATGTACCCAACTAAAGGACTGAGGATGATGACGCCTTGACAGCAAGCAATCGTCAGGTACGAGAAAATCAGGTGGCCATCACAATGTATCAGATACGTCCTACGGAAGGCGCGGCAGTTCTCGCGGGCCCGGCGCTGATCACCTCGTTTATCCCAACGCAAAAATAGACGGAATACGATGCCCGGTCTCATCATCAGGCAATGGCGGTGACCAACAGACTAAGTCTGCATCTACGTGCCCGTGTCTCAGGAATAGTCCACTAGTCAGCGAAGCTGTGTCATGAGGATACAAGTATTCAGCTGAAGATGGCCGGTCTGTGCGGTTTGAGTCGTTAATTCCCCGAAGGGAAATTCCGCTGCGCTACTGGTCGGCCGTCAGTCCGATCAGATGAGGTTAAACAGACACAGGTCACGTCAATCAATACTCTCTAATAGACTACACAAATATATGCGGACGTACATACACACTTACATAGCACGACATGGGGATTACTGATAGTGATGTCTATACTCACCTCTCCCCTGCGGGTGATGCAGCCACCCATGTACCATTAGTGTCTACATGGGGCCTGGGCAGTCGGGCAATAACCCTCAAAAACTGCCCGTGCTGGTGCGTCCACCCATGTCATGGATGCAGTAAAACCCAGCTTGCCCAGCCATCTCGCTGAAATGGTACCTACTATACATACATCCCTGGGCTCATCGGGGGTGGGGGACACAACCACCCTCCCTGGCCCCATGCGTGTCTGAGCTTAAAGACCAAAGAACCCTGGCAGATCAGCACACGTCGTGGCTGCGTGGCTTGCCTGTACATACATAGTAGCAGCTAGAGGTAATCATCCACCAATCCGCCCAGAGACACCTGGTCGTGATGAATAGATAGTTTCTCCAAACTAACTTCGCAGCCGTCATAGTCATGAGGATTGGTAGTATGTAAGATAACTACCAATTTTACATGGCCAGACGGGCTCTTGGTACTACGTAGGTGGCTGTTGGCGCGTGGGACCGCCCTTATTTCCAAAGTATCGATTTTTAAAATTTTCGTCTTTGGCTCTTTGGGGCTGTTGTGGGGTGTGTTGGTGGTGGTGCTCCGTTCTCTCGCTGGTGGTGGACTGGTGGTACGATCTCCTCATTTCCCCCTCCGATGGCAAGGGACGAGGCTTCAGGCGGTGCTACACTGGCCTGCACAATGCGGCCTGGGCTCCGAAGATTTCTCCCGCCTCCTTTGCGTAACATCGTGCCCGGCTGGAGTTGTATTGTGCTGTGGCGTTAAACCGTAAGTGGCGCTTCCAGAACGGAGTGAGGCGCCGTGTTACAGTCCAGAAGGAGAGGCTCCATTTTCAGTACGGGGAGTTACAGTCGCTAAAGCGTTCTGGCTGCTAGTGGAGGGCGAGTGTGGGGAGCGGCTGAAGGTGAGCCGGAGCCCAGAGCAGCCACTTCACCGAGCAAGTGCTGCTCGGTGTTTCCCGTGGTGACTCCACTCTGACAAGCAGTGGTCTAGTCCCCTCGTGGGGAAAACATGGCATCAGAATTCGAGGGAAACAGAGTTCTCCGATATGCTTGCTTGCTTAAAGATACACTTCAATCGTCGAGTGAGACAGGGCCGGGTGCACGTGTCGCTTATTGCCACCGCAGGTAATAACGCGTGCGCTACCGGGGGAGGAGGCATCTCACTTTCAATATCCCCATTGAGGATGGATGGATGGGTGGGTTACCACATGGTCAGCCCGCCAGGCACGAAAGAAATGGCCCGAACCAAAAGTAAGATTGATTTTACCCGGTTGCAAAACATTCCAACTTTAAACACCCCGCCATTCAGCTATACTGAGCTCATCATGCAATCATTTCAATATTGAGATGCAGTGCAACATAGGGTAGCCCCGGAGCATCACCAAATGGGTCTATGTGGATATTGCCCGGAGTGATTACTGCCCACCCGGCGGAACAATAAAAGCACACCAATTTTAATGCTGGTAATTTGTAAGCCAATATTATGTGCTCCCGGCATTGGCGATGGGGCATTCTGTACTTCTAGAAATGAATGCAAGGCAGGCAATGGCGACATGGCGATAGTTACAGCAGCGCGCGGCTGAGGAGGTAAATCGTTATCGTAGCAGTCAGAGAAGGAAGGCGGTCTGGCATACAATAGCGTTCGTGTCACGTGAAGAAACAGCCACCACTAGACCAAGCTTGACGACATATCAAGCTGGCAAAGGATTCAACGACAAGGCGTAAGATGCAGACCAGCAAGACGAATCACTTAAGCATATGCACAGGTAGGAGAACGCTGGAAAAGAAAATGCTCGAAGAAGAGATAGTGAATTAAAAACTGCACGCCCTTTTGTCGCTGTCTATGAACAAAATCATGCCCGAAATTACCATTATAACAATCCTGAGAATCTTGACACCAACATTATAGGAAGGCCCTGATATTACCCATATTAACCCATTTTTAGACAAAGGAAATTCGTCACTGCAAGGCCTCTCGGCTTCTTATTGGGCCTTGATGCCCTTGTGCTTCGAGACATAGTTCCACAAGTCCCTGGCGCACACAGGGATGGTCTCCTCGGTTTTCCAGCCAAGCTCCTTTGCAGCGCGGTTGTTGGAGGCGACGCAGAAGCCGACGTCACCGTCCCGGCGGCCGACATACTCGCATGGGATGGACCTGTTGGATGCAACCTGGAGAGCGGCGACGGCCTCCTTGACAGTGGTGCCGGTACCGGAGCCGAGGTTGAAAGTGCGGAAGGCGCTGGTGGCCTTGTAGTCGATGGCCTTGACGTGGCCGCGGGCAACGTCGGAGACGTGGATGAAGTCACGGACGGCGGTCTGGTCGCGCGTCGTCCAGTCCTTTCCGAAGACGTGGAGCTTCTCACGCTCGCCGGTGAGTACCTGTGTGATGACCGGAAACAGGTTGGTGGGGACGCCCTTGGGATCCTCGCCCAGGAGGCCGGAAGGATGGCAGCCAATGGGGTTGAAGTACCGCAGGGCAACGATGCGCCAGGCTGGGTCGGACTTGGCAATGTCAGCGAGGATGGCCTCGCAGAAGTACTTGGACCTGGCGTAAGGGCTCTGGAGGCCGGCAACGGCGGGCCTGCACACGACCTCGTTGTCGTCGTCGTCCAGGTATGTCTCGTCGTGGTGGACGAGATCCTCCTCGCGGAGGGGAAGGTTGTCATCGGCCTTGGTGCCATAGACGGTGGCGGAGGAGGAAAAGACAAACTTGCGAATGTTGTGCTCGCCAAGGAGCTCGACAAGATTTACGAGGCCGCAGACATTGTTCTGGTAGTAGGAAATGGGAGACTTGATCGAGTCGGAGACTGACTTGAAGGCGGCGAAGTGGATGACGCCGTCAATGAGGGATTCCCGGGTGATGGGATCAACCTCAGTCTCGAGGAGGTAGCGCATGCGGGACGACCTGTAGTCGAACTTGTGGAACTTGAGCGTTGGCACCTGCTCTGGGATTCCCTCCTCGGCGTAGTAATCCTTGGCAAGCTGCTGGATGCGGGAGAAGACATCTGCGAAGCTGTTGCTCAGGTCGTCGACGACAATGACATTGTGACCGGCCTTGAGAAGCTCGAGAGAGGTGTGGGAGCCGATGAAACCGAGACCGCCAATCACCAGGATGGATCGGTTGGCGTTGGCCGGGAAAAACTCGCTGATGGTGGCTCCGGGAGTGGTGGGAGGAGTCCCGCTGGCGAGAGAGACACTCGATGATGAGGCCTGGGAGTTGACGTATCTGTCCATGAGTTCTGAATGGGAGCTGATGAAGATGGTGGGACAACTGAGGTAGGAGAATGAAGTGGCTTATATGGTGTTGGGAATACTGCTGAACCAAGAGTAGGAAGATGTGGTCTATGTCCTTGTGGATTGTTGATACAACTGAGGAGCTAAGAACCCATCCTTGCAGGGAGCACGGCAAGCTTTATATCCAATGTGCCACAGTCCAGAAGCCAAGACAGTCCTGTGGTAAGGCACTGAGGATGGACGGCCCAGGCTCTCCGTTCAGGCAAAGGCACCGGCCGAGAAGAGTCTGACCAAGACGTCGACCTGAGAAACGGAGGTGCTCAAGGAAGCCCCGGCCTGCGGTCTGGTCCTCCATGGGACCCAATAGTCCGAGAAGGCTTGTGCATTAACAGGGCTCTAGGACGGGTGGAAAATGAAACGATGCCGTTCTCACCTCAGTCTGAGTCGCGACCATCACCGTTTTGCGATCTCTATTATGGGTCCCCGACGCTCTAGAGACGGGCGATGGGTCAAAGAGCCCGAATAGCTCCAATGTGTTAACCGCCATGAAGTGGACGACAACGCTCAACTAGGTGGACCATGCTCTTCTAGGTTTGGGCTGCACATCGTACGGAGCTCTCCAGGGGCAGAAAGGGAGGGTGGGCGGATGGGGGGCGTAGGGTGTGTGTGATGCTTTGTTTTCCGAAATCCATGTCAATCAGACTCATTAGTGGCAGTGAGAAGGCTTGCCGCGGTTGTGAAAGCTCGCGGCTTGTTGGCGTGATCTCTTTTGACACTCCAGCCAGCCATTGTCCCACGAACGGGCAGGCAGCTTGATGCGCTTACGGATCTAGACCTGCAGCCCAGGCACAGCGTCACCAGTAGACTGCTGCGGTTTGTGCATGCACCAGCATGAGGTGAAAATAGCCATGTGTGCTGCGCTTACACAGATACATTGGAATGAAGGGAGCGGGATGCCACGAGCTGCTGAGGTAGTGCACCTCGGGCGCCAAACTACAGCCCTAAGCCATTAGGCTAAGGTGAAATTACCTACGACAAGCCATTAAGTCACTGACCCGTATAAAGGCCCGAGTTTGTGGTATTGGGTGACGGGGTTTGCCTTGTGGCTCCATCCATTCTTTTTTTCTCCCCCTCTCCCCCCGTCTATCTGGAGTCTGGAATGCTAGGACAATGAGAGCTAGAATAAACGATTCAAGCCCACAAGGCGAACCCAAGAAGCTGGGACAGCCCGAAGAGCTCTGGAATGTGACAAGTGGGCTCGTACCTGAAGCTGGTAAAGTTGGGTGAAATGCCAATTAGCATCAGTTAGCATCGAGCAGGCCTTGCCCGACTGGTCGTTGGTCGGTCCATAGCCACAGGAGGATCTCCTTGTAGTCGATATGGGACAGACTTGGAGTGGAGAACAAGACCAAACAGGCAATTCGCCCAAGTACCGAGACAGGAAGCGGCAGCCCCTGGCGAGCTGTTGGCCGTCTGTTTAGGGCATACACGAGACACTGCTTTCCAGTCGCGGAAACACGAGAGACACTGAAGTCCAGCAGTTGGTACTGGTACTGCCAAGATTGGCCAGGGGGGGGAAGATGCAACCATGTATCTGTGCCCCCTGCCATCGTCCAGCGGGGCCGGGGAGTGCGTAGGTGTTCCTGGGCGTGGAAGCCACCCATGAGAGGAGGAGGTATCGGTACCTACCGGTATTTGCAGAGTGGGTTGGATCCCCGGGGGGTGGGGTGAGGAAGTCAAACGTTGTCAATCCTGATCCTTGTCGGCGGGAGCGGCTAAGATCGTTCATCCCGGTGGCCGGAGGAAGTGAATCCAGGCACAGGAGGGTGCTGAGGGGACGCCCCTCCCCGGCGCAACTGCACGGGCGACAGGTAGCGCGGTCCACTAACGGGGGCCCCTGACTGACTGCCGTGGTGATGGGCCTCGTTCTCAGTCTCTTCCAGCGCTCGCTCTGCTGCGCCATCGCGCAGCCACCAGTTGTTCTCGGTATTCCTCAGTTCAATTTGCGGTCGCTGTCGCACAGCAGTAGCAGCCGCAGTATCGGGACGAGCGATGCTATCGGTGCAGCCACATTGGACGGGACGACTCAGACACGGCGCGTGGTGCTGTCCAATGTTGCACTCAGGCGCTCACTCGCTCGCCCGTCCCGCCTGTAGTGAGGTTTCTCTCCATTTAGGCGTCTGTCTATTGGCAAAGGCGTCTAAGATGCCATTGCGCAATTTCGGCCCTCGCGTTCGTGGTGCGCAAATGGGCCCAACGTCCAGCCACGCGCATGCAACCACTCACTCTACTGCATCCGTAGGTTGCCGCTCTAGCTGCTTCTACCTAGAAGCCCTTGCCTTGCCTGCCCGCCTTGCCTTGCCTTAGACGTGCAGTCAGCGAGAGAGAAGGACGCAATTGCGCACACACTGTCGCTGATGGATCTGATGGGACGGTGCCATCCCCATCCCCCGCCTTCTCGTCCAATGAATCCTCACAATCTCCATATTTTCTCGCATGCTCATCTAGGCAATTCATGTATTGATTATTTATATTACACAAAAGCTTCATTCAGTCTGACAATCTGACGAGAGGTAGCCGGCGAAGCGGCAGGGCTCCGGAAAGAAGGCCTCGCCGCGCGCTGAAGCGTGTTGCCCTGTGGCTGTTCCCTTTCACTCTATTTGCAACTCTCGGTCACGTCGTCGGTCCAGACCGTATGCCGGCTTACGGGCCCGTGCGGTCAATTGAAACTGCCTCAGAAATTGCCGGACGGGCGAGCGAGACAGAGCGCGTGCGTCGGCATGAGTACGGTCACTGCGGCGCAGGAATAAGGGTCCAGACAGCCAACCGGTGGAGGGCCGCCTGCCTTGGGCAACAGCCCCGAGCAAAGATGACTGCAGAATTCAATACAATGCTGCAATACACACATAGGCATTGGCATTGTCACCGCACGAGGCGGCCGCGACAGCATCCACGCACTCATTCGTCTGACATGCCTGGGCTGGGCTGGGCTGGGCACATCCAGCTCGTGGGCGCTCGCAGCGGAGACCGAGGTGAGGTGGTATCCGAGGGCAGCAACGGCCCAATAGGGCTCCTTCCAGACGGCCTGGGTGGCCCCACTGGCTTGGCATTGCGATCTTGCACCTCGTTTAGAAATAGGTTCTGACAAGGGCCATGACAGAGACAAGGATGCTCTCGCCAGCCGCTCTGCACCCTCTTCTGGTTCTGTTCAACTCTGGCGGCGATCATTGGTTCCCCCGGGCCTCGTATTGCCTTCCAGGCCCCGCGCCAGCTCAGACAGCACGCCTTGTTTCTTACCAACCGACAAGAATAGGCAGCATGCCCGTTTGCAGCGTTCTGGGCTGCTTCTATGCGCATGCAATACCGCCCATGCTATTGCCTCTGGGCATGCCATGCTACCTACTATGCTGTGCTATTCCCAGCGCTGCGGTCCCGCGTCCCTCAGCTCGCCCTCAGTGCCTTTTCCGGCCCCCTTGCCAGTCGTGTCATCAATATCACCTTGATGCGTTGTGCCCTCTCCACTCTGTCGCTTGCGTGCGGATACTTTCAACCACATACCGTGGATACGAACAAGCATGCCAAATCCCCGGTTGTTTTAGGCAGCGATTGGCGCTGTCCAGATCTCACGACATCACCATTCATCATCGATTAACTTTCGGCCAAGCTAAAGGCCTGCTGTGAATGCGAAGAGTGCCAGCCGCCCCCGCGCCTGGAGCCAAGCAGGCCAAGTGCCTACCTAGCTTGAGCAGCCAAGTCACACTGGCCTCCCAGCGGAGATTTTCAATGGCGCTTGGGAGCCCAAGCGCAGGAACGGCGATCAAATTACTGACCCTTGGCTAGTGCCCCAATACTGGGCTTTCAGGTACTGCAGCTAGCTTCAGCCATCGCTTTATCCGGACTAACAAAGAAGCCGGTGTGCGGTGAGTTTGCAGTAGCCCCCTTTAACCTTGGACAACTCTCTTTTCTTCTCACGACCCGCTTTTCGCGTGTTCGATTGTATCTTCCGTCCGTGGTAGCTCGATTCTGTTTGCGGTGCTTGATCCTGGGCTCCTGGGCTAGACGTCCACCGAAGCGTCGGCATGCCCCCAGCCCTGCTGAGTCTCCCTGCAGACTGGCCTCCATGCACGCACATACATACACGAACGCTCCGCAAGTGCAGTGGGAATGGACAGCCCGTGAAAATCCTCTTAGTGCGGCCTGAACGGCTGAGCTGTTCCAAGTTCAGGTCATCTCATGGGCCCCCTTCCGTGCGCCTAGTAAGAAAGCAGGGTTTCACCAAAGTCAATCTCGAACGCCCCAGACGACTAGCGACGCCATCTTTTCCCGCAGCTCACCCTTCCCAGATGATTCTCGTCTTGCCTGGCATCGCTTCCCTGCCCCCTGCTCCTGAGTCTGGGTGCGTGCGAGCTCGCTGCTGCTTTGTAACATGCTGCTTCTCGGCCTTCTTCGCCTCCCTTGACAGATCTTCACTTACGACCTACCTACCCAGTAAACATCCCTTCCTTTTCCCTACTCGGCGCATATCAATCTTCTATCTAATCCATCTCTCCTTTTGTATGAATTCCCAAGACTCACCTTTCGCTGTTCCGAATTTCCACTCCAGTCTCTTTGTTCGTCGTTCCCACCCGTACTCGCTCTCCTTCTTCATGGCTTGAGGCGTTCGCCAGCATAGGTTCTCCTGCAAGGGGCTCTTTAAACCCCATCCCACCTCTGTTGCCTTAATCGACCCTCTGGTCTTCCCACCCGTCATTCGTTTGTTGCCTCCATCCGGACTGCCTCTGCCGCCGGCATGGCATCCTTCTTTCAGCCCGGGGCAAATGACCCTGCTCAAACCGATTGTGACCCAGGTAGATTTAAGATCTACTGCAATTCAATCCTACCAGTCAGCTCCTTATTCTCGGCTTGGTACCAAAAGTTCAACGTTATAGTGGGAGGCGTCGCTTTCATCATCCCTCTCATCTACCTGACCAGCCTGCTCATCTACCGACTATGGTCGGATCGGCCGCGGAACCGTACTCGGTATGTAGTATCCTCCCATTCCCATCACATTCCCATCCCCTTCCCCACCCCCGCAGTTGAAGCATCACCAAACACAAAGACATGTCTCACTGCATGTTGCAAGCTCTATCTAACTCGTTATATGAAGAGTACGGAGGAAGAAAGATGGCCCTGGACTGGAAGGAACTAGGAAGCTACCTTCCATGACAGCCTTCAAGGCGGCCAAGTCCTTTCAGATATTGAGTGATTCCGAGAGCTCTCTGGCACAGCGCGGCCAACTAGGTATTGAAACCCTGCGGTTGCCTCCGGTAGTCAGCGCAGACAGGGGCAGCGTCATCAGCGAGAGCAGCTCCATCTCGTCCAGGGCAGAGGGCTCAGCGTCCGAGACGGACAAGATGAGCATTGGCTACGTCGATCTCAAGACGCTTGCTGAAGACGCCCTCAGTGTCTCTAGCATTTCTGCTACAGCTCAGAACCTGTATGATACTCACAGATCGAGCAACTTGCCCGCAATTGCCATTCGCTGCGACAACAACACGTCTACTGACCAGGTCAATCACCTTCTCGAGATCCTTTACTTCAAGGGTGTGCCGGTTATCATTCTGGCCCACCACGATACGCCGATATGGGACTCAATTGACCTAGGAAATGCGACCGGTGTCATTGTCGAGAGTGCCTGCATTCTTCCCAACGGCGAGCGACGCGATTACTTCAAGGCACGACCCCTCCAGACCCTCATGTCCAGGTGCAGCACACAGAGAGAAACCCGGCCTGATTTCTTTGTTGGATTCATGGACCTGTGGGAGAAGCGACCTCACCCCTCGATTATTCGCAGAAGCGTGAAGTTGGCGGAGCATTTTGGCGCTGTCATGGAACACGGTCCTATTGACCCCAGCATCAACTATGGCGGTCCAATTCGAGCTGCTGCAACTACTTTGAGTGGTTTCGAATACTTGCGCCGAGGCCCTTTGATCGATGTAAGTGAATGATTGTTACCTCGGTAGTTTGTCGACATCCAAGTTTGCTAATATATCCGGCGACCAGCTTCAAAAATTCTGGAGTACCGAAACGAGAAAAGTCCGAATTGCACAAGAGGATGAGGATGTGTCCGATATGGCGGCGTTGCCGCTTGATGGATTAAAGTCGGTTATCCCCAAGATAGATGAGTGGCTCGCGTACGAGCCAATGACCGATGACCTAATCGCAATGAGAGACGAGGAGCCGACCTATCTTGATGCGCCTCCCTACGAAGCAGCGGCACCCTTCCGAGAGAACTTCTGGGACATTTCGTGTCTGGGACAGCGCCAGTCTCAGCGAGGATGCTATCCCATCGCATCCGAGCCTACTGCCGCCCAGTACGACGCTGTGGTCAAGACGCAGACCCATCTCAAGGAGCTCGGTATGCTCCAGCCGTGGAAGGGTGCTGAGATTCACCGTCTCGTCACGGCTCTTCGTACTCTTACGGAGGCCACGCCATGCCATGAACTTGTTCACGGGCTGATCGAAGGCCTTCAGACGCATAGAATTGCGATTTACAAGGGCCTCGATACTGGGTTCGGTGTAGCCGACGGTGTGTCCTATTTTTGGGGAGTCTCCAACGCTCGCGAGGAAAAGGGTGGTACTACTGATCACGCTCTCGACATTTTCGTCTCTCTCAAGGTTCCGAACGATGCTACCACCATCTTGCACACTTGGTTGGCTCACCATGGTCTTCCTCGTGTTCAAAGATTCGAAATGGAGCACGAATTTGAGCGGGCCAATAATCTTAATGACAAGGACATTCCAATCAGCTTGAAGACGGGTATTGAAAGACTGAGTCATGCCGAGACCCTGAATCTTATCCAGCAGATTCGCGTCTCCCAGCTTAACCACCCGTTCTGTGATCCTCTGATTGAGTATGCCCGCGTCACCCTGATTGACGATGCCTCCCGCTTTGCGTGGTACCATAAGTCCGCACTGAATACTCTGGCCGACTCCATGAGCATCCGGGAAATATTCCAAGCGAGGTTGGAGCATTTTGCTCGCGCTGGGGCTAATTTCCTGCCAACTGTGGATGGGCTCGTTGCGCTTTATGAGCACATTGAGGTCATCGTTGAAGAGTCACTGTTCTTCGGTAACAGGGAGCCACTGAATGTAATGACCAATGCTTTGCTCGAAACCTGGGATCCTGAAACCTCAGGAGAAGGCTACAACTATGTCGATGTCAACGCAGATTTATTTGCGCTGATCTTCTTTACCCTGCTTAGGAAGGCCGCCTTCGAGGACGTCTACATCGAGGCCACGGACCGATGTCCATTCTTCCTGTCTCTACCTGATCAAGCTGCCGTCTTCTCTGAGCTGTGGGTTCTTGGATCGCAGTGTGAGATTTACTTTGGGATTCTTCCCCGTGCGCTTGGAGCTATCGTCTACCGCCGATATCGTGCATTCTTGGGTGAAGCGCCCCCAAGCGGAGACTCTCGCAAGAACAATGAAGTCATGACAATGTACTCGACAGGTGATGTCCAGCCGATTAATCCTTCCAAGAAGGAGCGCCAGCGCGACGGTTCCACCAATGCCAAACTAACGGGAACCGAGAAGATTGAGCTCTGGAGGAAAAGATTTACCGAACTTGGCGCCATGTCCATCTTTTGTCTTCCTGCCATTATCGACGTCATTCTCCTCACCTTTGTCGGTCGTGGTGTGTTCATGACTGCCTTCATGGACCCAACACACCTCCAAGCAGCCAGTCTTGCCCTGCTCATCTCGCTGCTTCTCACATCCGGTGTTACTGGCTGGGTTGGAAGTGTGGGTAATTACTATCTGGTCAACTTTGCCTATGACAACATGATCTACTTCCACGTTGAGCGGCTCTCAGGTGGTTTCGTGCTCAGCCTTGTCATTGCAGTCTGTGGTATTATTGGATTCTCAGTCCAGTACAGCGTTGCTGTTGGCTTCATCTTTGCGGCATATCTCATGATCATGGCCACTTATTTCAACTTGCTCGGAATAATGTCCACCATGCATCAGCACAACAGCCCTCTCACTTCTGGCCGTACTGTCCTTTGGAGAACGTTCCCTCTCTTCCTTGTCTCACCACTAATTTCAGCTCTTGTCAATGGTTATGATCTGCCAATCTATCTCTCCGTTACTTTCACTTTCCTCTTGTTGGCCGTCTACCAGTACCGTCGACTCTGCCAGGAGTGGTCATCGTGGATGCAGAACATTCCCAAGTTTTCCGAGAAGGATGTTATGCAATGGTACGAATCTTCAGGACTAATGCCCTCTGAAGAGGCTACCGAAGGCGAAGAGGACGGAGAGAAGAGTAACAAGGATAAGGACTCACAGGAAGCCTTCCGTGTAGCAGTTGCCGCACGACGACGCGGCGTTAAGGGAACAACTGGCCCTGAAAATGAGGCCTTTGTCTCCAAGGTTGCCGCTGGCATGCCATATATTGACTGGCTGTTGCAGAAGACCTGTGCCGGAACCAAGATTCCTGATGTTTTCAGTGCCTCATGGTTCACTCAGCTTGGTGAATCTATTAAGCAGCAGAAACAACTGGCTCGAGGACTCAAGGAGCACAATGTTTTGTTGCTTTTCCGCTTCGCTCGGTACGATCTTGGACAGAATCTTGGTCTTTTCTTGGTCGCACTCATGGATCGTTGGGTAGCAATTGTCATGGGTGCTCGTTTGCCTCACGGAAGTATGTACCTCGACTCTCGCTCACGATATGGTCTCTGTTTTTGTGTCCTGTACTTCTGCGCATCCGTCATGGTGTTGGATACTACCCTCCAGAAATATTGGGAGGTGCGATTCAAGCTTTCTGGGGAGAGGTTGGTCGACTACGAGCATGCGAAGCAGGTTTCTAGGGAGTGGGAGTCGAAGCGTCTCAAGACTTTTGGCGTGGCTCTCAGGGAACTCTTCTACAAGATCTTCTGCGTCTTTGGTCTCTGCACACTCCTTCTATGGCTTATGGTTGATAATCCTCGGAGCATCATCCTCTACTACTGCTATATTCTGGGCTACACCTGCGTCATCTTGTTCCAATTCAACCGTTGCTTCACTACCAACGTGCGCGCGCACATCACCATCATTCTGTCCTCAGCTGCTATCGGTTTCATTGTGGGATGTATCTTGCGAGCTATTCCTAGCACTGCTGGTTGGCTATGGGCCGAGGTTATGGCTCAGAACGTTGCTGCTGTCCTTGCTGCAATTGGAACGACCCTCTGGTCATGGAAGGACTGGAGCTCACCCACTCTCAAGGAGGATATGGATGAGAGCTCTGATCCCAATGACCCTCAGATGTTTATCCAGACCGGACTCAGTGCCGAAGCAAACTCTGCCGTCAAGGTCTCCATGACTAAGCTGAACAGTCTCAAGGGAACCACTCTGGTTGATGATAATGGCTCTTTTACCTCCTCTGAGGTTGCGAAGCTGCTTCGGAAGAGTATGGAGGAGCCAAACATGCATTCTTCTGCGGCATCATGGTCCGACACTCTCCTTCAGAGGACGGTGAGCCTGTGGAGTGAGCGCCGAATCATCGTTACCATCGCCAGCCGCCAACAATTCGTGCGCATGGGAATGGAAGACATTGTTTCAGTGAGCCAAGTCAAGCCTGGCACTCTGGAAATCACTGTCGGTTTCCTTGGAGACTCTGAGGTGCACCGCCCATCTTGGCAGCCCCTGCTGGCTTCCCTGATCACCGAAGCCATGTTTTACCATGTTGCCCGTGCCGAGTTGCACCTTACCCATGCCCAAGCGGTTCGCTCTGAGCACTTCCTCCATGATACCCGTTCCATGTCTAAGAGACTTGACTTCGAGCTTGCATTCGCCGATGCAGGCAGTCTGACCCGCATGCGCCTCAGAACCAATGTTGAGCTCATGAAGCACCTTTGCCTGGACGTTGCTGTCGACGCGGAATGGGAGTCGATGCCTCAGTGTGTTCGCGAAGCTGTCATCAACCGTATCACTGGAGATGAGCTTCTCATCACCGATGAGCTCACCCAGTGGGTTCAAGACAACAACGTTGACATTTCTACCATGGACTTCCATATTTACCTCTCCCTCAGCATTTACCAGAGGCTTTGCGAGAAGCGCCAGTCGACCCTGCCATTCTCCAAGGCCAACCAGACGACAAAGCTTCCTCCCCCAGCCTTGATGCCGGTCAAGATTCAACGCTCTCGTGGCCCACAGAGCTTGTTGCAGCACTGGCTGCGAGCAAGTGTCTCCATTCCCTTCACCTTTACCAAGTGGGTTGCAATCATCTCTGGTGCTGGTCCTGACATTGAGCGTGAGCTTTGGTACTGCTTGAAGGATGTCTACTTCAATCGCTTCATACTCCGAGTCTTGCTGCAAATTTGGAGATTCTGCTCCTTCGTCAAGGATCTATGGGTCTACATGCTCATCATCTATCAACGCCCTACACTAGTATCTATCAGCCGAGTCGCTCTCAAGGGCTCTCGGCGTAAGCTGCTGCGCACCTCCATCGTTGTTGAGCTCCCTCGCAAGACCATCACTGGCTTTTCATCCATTGACGAGTCTGGTGCTATGAAGCTGGACGTGTTTGATGGTGCCTGCAAGGAAGCACCTTCTGAAAAGAAGCCACTGTTCACTGCTACCTATGACAGCCACCTGCGCCTTCAGACTCGCTGCGATAATGGCATTACATCTACCTACAACTACCCTCCTAACCCCAAGTTCAAGTGGCCTCTTTCCAAGGAACTCTCTGATGAGGGATTCCACACTGTTGGATTCTATGACAAATATGGACGCATCAGCCGGGGTACACTAACGATTGAAGACAATGAGTTCGCTTTCCAGTATCACTACAAGGCCACTCCCAAGGGCAACACTGATATTCTCTCTGCTGACTTCAAGCTTATCAGCGACGAGTCAGACGATGTCCTCTCCGTCTTCTGGGGTGTTCCTGTTCTCGGTGACTATTCCAACTACGACTGGGTTCCCTCAGAACGCATCAGCCGTCTCGTCAAGGTCATTGACGGCAAGACTTACGTTACTGAAGCCGAATACCGCCATCGCCGTGACCCCCTCATTACCACGTACCTGCAAGAAAATGATGGTCGCAGAACTGCCATCGCCCGGTCCCCTAAGATCTTCAATGAGGAGGCTCTCTTCCTCGCTCGTCCTAATAACTTGTCCTTTGACATGGACGACCTCCTGGTCTATCACAACAGGCTCCAAGTGTCACAGATGAGACGACACTCGGGAAGGAAGCCAACATTCTTCTCTTACATTAACCCGGTTAACTGGATTGCTTCATGGGGTACACGTGTTTACCTACCTATCCCCACCTGGCAGATCCGTACTGAACTCTGGAATCTTTGGCTCAAGACTGATACCCTGGATGCACCCACTGCGTGTTGGCTGGATGAGCTGGTGCTGCGTGAAGAACCTCGCCTTCGTGCCTACTGGCGTGCCCGCAACAGCGGTCAGCTGCGTGAGGCTAAGCAAGCGCTTGACAAGGAGATTGATCAGATTGTATCGGCCATTGACATTCAGACCGACGTCTCTGAAGTGTGCCTTTTGCCTATTCGAACCACTGATTTGTACACTATGGGCCTTGGAAAGGATGCCACCCAGGTTACCACCCGTCCTGAAGACTGCTTCAACGATACCAAGGATCGAGTGTCGGTCATCTTCAACGATATCGGATGCTGGCCGGAGGCTCCTGGTGGTGTGTCTAACTGCCGAAGAGACCTGGTCAATGGTCACAGCACTATCCGCAACCACGTGTTGGCTGAATGTGCAAACGACTTCGGTATTCCTCGTTTCCAGGTCGAGAAGAACGTCCAGTCAATGAAACTGCTTCCTCTGTGGGGTCTCGACGGAAAGAGTGCCTATCACGGTTTGATCGACAACTTGCTTCAGAGCCAGGTTGATGAGAAGGTTCGGGACACCGATGTTCAGCGAGATATCGTTGGTGTTTTCATTCCCTTGCTCAAGGCCTTCGTCAAGGGAGCACGTACCAGGAGTTACTCGCGCGCTGATCTCATCAAATACACCAATGTCATGCTTTCTTTCTGCAAATACTACGAGCGCAAGGACTACAGCCGAACATGGTCATCTCCCGAGGTTGAACAGGCTTGGGTTGATGCCTGGTTGATTCCGTATGACGATCCGAACATTATTGACCCCGCCAAGGCCTTCGACATGGAGCGACCAACCATGGCTGACTTCCGCGATTGCCTGGGAATCTACCTGGCCTATTTCTTCATCTTCTCAGTAAAGATCCCCGAGAGATGCCCCCGTGTCTTCCAGAGTACCCATCACGGAATCAGCAGTCTGTTCGGGATGATTTTGCGTTATCGTCGGGGAACAACATTTGGTATCTGGGACCACGCCATTCTCTGGCGTGAGTGCTGCTTGAACATCAGTCCCGCCCAGTGCGAGCTTCCCATCTCTGTTCAGACCATGCTGCTTTCCGGTATTGGCCTTGCCACTCGTCTCGCCTACTTCCACGCCGACGTCATCATGCCCTGCACGTCGCTTTTCAACCCGTAAGTGTCAACACATCTACATAATGATTAAAACAAGAATTGAGCTAATAAACGACAGTATGTGGGAAGCTGAGATCGGAACTGATCGTGGAATGCTTGGTAGCAAGACCGTGTTCAACCGACGCATCGACCCTATTGTCAATGGTATCAGCAATATGGAGTCTTTCACCCCCGTTGACAAAGTCCGCACTGAAAAGCCCACGGTGGTCATGTTGTCCAACGTTCAGTCCATCAAGGGTATCAAGACAGCCATTCTTGCTGCCAACATCATCGTGAACAAGTACGGATTCAAAGACTACTCGCTCGTCGTCTATGGAGCCAAGGATCGACAGCCATCGTACGCTTTGGAGATGGCTAAACTGATCGTGGAGAACAATCTCTCTGAAAAGGTCATTCTCGCTGGTTTCGGTAAGCCCAAGGAAGTCCTCAAGGATGCTTGGCTCTTCATGAATTCTTCCATTTCCGAGGGTCTTCCTCTGGCTATCGGAGAGGCTGCCCTGGCTGGTGTGCCCATCGTCGCTACTGAGGTCGGAGCTACCGCCTTGGTGATGACAGACCCTGATGACCAAGATAAGCGGTATGGAGAGGTTGTGCCCCCCAATGACCCTCTGGCCCTGGCACGCGCTCAGCTCAACATCCTCGGCATGGTTGGTCCTTGGGCCAAGTTCACTGAAGAGGCTACCGTTGATCCTGCGGCGGCTGCTGCTGCTGTTCTTCCCGATGAGATCACACCAGCGGACGTCGATTGGCTCACCAAGCGTATGTACGCCAAGGTCGATGATCGCCGCAAGCTCGGTCTCCTCTCTCGAGAGGTCGTCTTGCACAGTTTCCACGGTAATCGCTACCTCCGTGAGCACGAGCAGATGTACTGGATCCAGTGGCACATTGCCCAGATGCGTGATGACAAGGCCTTGGCCGCCACTGCCGCCGAGACCTTCCGGTTCGGAACTATGGAGACGCTCCGCTATACAGATGAGGATGATGTTTCCTGCGAAGACGAAAAAGCAGCAGCGGACGAAACCGACGCCCTCCTTGAAGACGAGGAGAATCAACTCGTCCTGGATGCGCTGGAGAACAAGACTTCCATAGACAGGAGGAGACTAAGCAAGCGCAAAACCATGAACACCGCCAAGCGACTCTCGCTGGTTCGCTGGCAAGATTTCAATGAACCTGAAGAGATCACCGACGAGAAGAGTCAGGCGGGATCGAAGAGACTGAGCAATGACCCCCATCAGGTGGACGCTACCAGCCTTGTCTAGAACCCTTACTCATGGAGTCCCCCCCCCGGGGAACACGAGGCATTTGAGTACAGTCTCTACTACGCCTCTAAAATAATTGCGGCAAAATATGTCTCTGGTTGTACAAATCATTTTACGAAATCATGAATACTGCTTTTAGAAAAGAATTGTTTGTTTGTTTGTTTTTTTAGTTCGGTATCATACAAGTTTGGAAACAAAAGGAAATAATTGTTGGTTCATATTGGAATAGTATTTATTAATTTTGGTTGGATACCGGCCTTGAGGTAGAAGCAGCGAGCACTCGCACAATATATATCCCTTAAATAATAATTTCTTACTACTTACTACCTTCACCCTTTTACCTTCATGTGTGTAAAGGTATCCTACCAGAAACTCCTAAAAAGTGACAAGATCATTCGTCCCTATTTTCAGGAGAGCCTCACTAGAGGCGCCCATCATATAACCAAATGTTGCGCCTTTTTCGTTTCCCCATCACAACGCCCAGAGCTATGTATGAAGAATATCAAGATGCAATGTATACACAAGTGGAGGAGCATTCAGTAGTTGAGTGCCTTTGCCTCACACATTCAGATCACCAACGGAAAGGGACAGGTATTTTTCTTCAGAGAGGTGCCCCATCACACCATACATTAAGTTTGACCCAAAAATTTGCTTCCCTCTTGCTTAAAGAGCCAGTCGCTATTAGCGTCCACCATAAAGTTCGTAATATTAAATTCATTCCCAGGCCCAGGATGTTGTACCTGCTCTTGGCTGTTTGGTCGGTCGATGTCTACTCCAGCGGGAGCCGTTTGGCCGTTGCCCGCCATGTTCTCTCCGCCAACTGGTAAACGAGGCACGTTGAAGAAGTCAAAGACATCTAAGTATTCGAGCTCGTTTGGAGCTGGGGTTCTTGCTGGTGTTAAACTTGGGAATCGGCTCATACTTCCGACACCCAGCTTCGGTTGCCTTGAAATGAGAAAGTCAAGGTCAAATGCAGTTCGACGCATGTCAGATAGTATTTTCACGGAGCTTGGTGTCACTCCATCACCTTGCCTCTCGCTGTCACGATGCTCATCTAGCACCCTTTGAAGGAGCTCGCAATAGCGAGCTGCTACGGGCCAGTAACGCCCCATTTCGCGAAGGGCCTCGACAAAGAAGGAAATTTGAGGAGATAGCTTCCGTTCAACAGTCGAGCCATGAACAAGCAGTAGTCTGGCGGCAACCCAGAGGGTGAATGCGAAGGGGGGGCCCAGTTTATGCAGGAGACTATTATTAATGACAAATTCGCCCAACGCTGCGATATTCTCGACGGCACCATGGCACCTCTGCGAAGCACTGTACGAAGGGGTGAAGATTGGTGACCTAGTAGTAGGATAAGCGGCCGATGAATGCAGTCGAATGACGGCGGTATGGTATGTCGCGTGTAACATGACCCACCCGCAGTTGAGGTTCTTGCTTCCTGGCTGGAATAACTTTGCCATATTGCCGTACTCATTTGGTAGGGAGAATTTGTAGGATGTGAGTAGGTTATCGAGTTCCTTGTAACGCATTTGCCACTGTTCCACATCGCTCAGGGCACTAATGTCAACAGGCTGTTTGAGGAAATCATGTATTCGACCTAGGATGTTGAGAATCTCGCAATGGAATCCGAATGCGCCGATATTCTCAGGCTTGCTAATATCATATTCCGATGTCTCTTCGTGATAGTCCCGGGTTTTGAACCATTTGGTCTCAACCTTCTGGTTCTTGATCCACAAATCGTCGCGACAAGGGAGAGTGCGGTCAATTTCTTTATCATTGAGCGCAAATTCGAAGGCAGTCGCAATTGTGGCATATCTATCCAGAAGATATATCATCCAAAATAGCCTTCTTTGTGACTCTTCCTCGATGAAGTCCTTCGTTTCTGGTAGCACCATTGCACGTAGTGTGTAGATTGACGTGTAGTTGGGCGAGACGCTGAAAGATGTACTTTCTACTGCCAGCCCCAGCTGGACTACGCCGCGGGTGATGAGCGCCATGATGTTCCACCCTGGCGGCCCATTGCTGTCACCGCAAAGATCAAGGGCCAGAATAACCAATGCCTGAAGAGACTGGACTGATGAGTTCTCCATTCCATAGAGCAAAACTCGTTGCTTTGACACTTGGTGGTAATGTCGCCGCCGCTCATCGGTCAACCTTGAGTCATTGGAATATCGCATGGCCGTTGCCACAATTGCATGAAGAAGAATTCGATCTGTCTCCTGCAGTGTTGATGGACCAAAGAGAGAATCCAGGGTCGTTTTCCGATGCAGAATCGGGCACCAAGTGTTGATGTGTTTAAAATACAGGTCGACCAAGGCGTAGAGCAAATCGTACGGGGGCATATCCTGGTCCAGCGGCGCTGTACTAACTGAGGCGTTTTGAGACAACGTAACGGATGGCGAATGCATTGTGGCCTGACTGTTTGATCCGTAGTAGTCCTGAGCCGCTGCTGATGGTGGTATACAAGTTACACCGGGTGGACCAGATATGCCAGGCATTTGCATATGTGGCTGAAACCCATCGCTTATCCCAGGAGTAGGCGGTATGCCAAATTCAAGGGCTTGAGAGCTCGGTGTGAAACTGGACACCTTCTGTAAAAAGAGAGCAGTTTCAGCCTGGGGTGTGCGCATGCTTTCTGGTGGTCTGAAGACTGGTACAACTTCTCGGGGAGTTCCCTGATCGCTCGGCAGACTCGAGTTACTATTCCTTATACTTGGTGCATGATTCTGGCTGCCAGCCGTCATTGTCGCCTGCAGAATTTCTGCATGTGACTTGAGTATTTCTTCGAGTTTGTCAAGCCGCTGCTCCAGCTCTCTCCCATACCCTGCCCTCAATCCCGGTTTTCGGCGTTCCTTGTATTCGCATGCCGCGCTATTGCGGGTGCACCACCCGCATGATGGTTGGCCACGGTCGCATTTTACCTATATCAAGGATCATGTGTTAGCAACAATCTTGAGCAAAGAGGGGTGAACGTATTCTGGCTCAGGACTAGAATATGGGTATGACCAATCGGAAGGGTCGTTGATACCTTTCGCTGCTTGCAAAGCTCACATCTAGGGAGAATGGTGTTAGTGATGTCTTCCTTCTGAGTAGAAGCGGCCAACGCTTCTTCGGGTTCGGTGGCGTCGTTAACGTCGCCTTTCCAAGAACTCTCACCAGATTCGTCGCCCTGCAAGGGCTTGGAATCGGCAAGGCTGAGAGGACTTGGCATGGCTCAGGAATGCGCAGGACCAACTTCGGCACATGTTCCAACGAGAGGAAGGAACAAGGCGCGTGTGGTGCCGAGCAGATGAAACGAAACAGACAGGATAAGTGCGTTCAAACTGTAAGATAGAACGGACGAGAGGCCAGACGAACAGGGGGATGCCGGAGCATTGCCAGGGGAGGGAAGGGAGGAGAGACACGGAGTGGAGGTAGAGTCCAATGCTATAGTGCCAATCGCAAATAGAGTAGAGATTTAGAGGAGACTCACGAGATGGAGATGGGGCGCTTCCGCTTATTATTGGGGCCATTGCGGGAGGAGTCATCGAGATGCTCCTCATCGCTGTGGTCGTCGCTTTCGAAGTCATTCTGAACAGACCGAGCACCAGGGAGGGGAAGGGGTGGCGACGTGCGCTTGCCATTCTGATGATGGCCGTTCTGCATCATCGCCGGTCTTACCTAGGCCGGCAGACGCCAGGGGCGCCGCTGCAGGCTCCTGTGCAGGTTTGCTTCGACTGGCTTGCCAGCGAATGCGACAATCAGACTGCTTGGCCGATGCGCGCCCGGGGCCCAGCTCGAACCAGCGAAGGATAGCAGTGGGACCTGGAATGTAGGACGAGTGAGGCCCGGGATATCGCAGCTCGTCGCACCGAGCGCACGAGCAACGGGGGATGATGGACTCGGGACAATGTGTAGCGCAGAAAATGTCGGTGTTGTGAACTCCGGGCTGGTGCCGCGATGTGCGAAATTCATAAGCATAAAGCAGAGAGCACGAGGGTGCGAGTGGAGGCTGGGCCAACCCAAAGCCGAAGCAGGAGCCGACGCCAGCACTCCGGCAGCAGCACGCAACAGCCCTGTACCAGTACCTGGGTTTTCTGGGCGATGCGGCGGTGACACAGCTGCGAAATTACCATGCCTACCATGTATCGGTATGTTACTGGTTTCTGGGCCGTGCCTGCCAGATTTGCCTACGTCGAGCCAGGGAAGGAGCTCTGGAGCTTGGGAGGTAGGGCTCTCGGTTGGGGGGGGAGGATTTACCATTGGCCGCTCCCCTCGTCCGTGTGGGGTAGCAGCGCATGGCGACACAAATGCGGAGAGCCGAGAGATTGTGGGTCGCAGGCGCAGAGCCGCCATTGGCCAGCCCGTCAGTGCCCTCATACGATTCACTCTCACTTGACTGCCCATCTCGCTCAAAATTTACCAAGACGCGACCAGGACACGAGCAGCAGCTCACCAGGTCGGAACCTGGAGGCGGGGCGCTCTTGTTGAGGCCTGGCTGTCATTGGGTTGGGTTTCATTTTCCCCAGACACATGCATACTTCCCCCCCCTTACCGAATCCAGCGAAGGGGGCATGTGATGGAGGTCAGCGATGTGTCGTAGCTGGGCTGGCACCATTTTCTTCACTTCATTCGAGCAAGCATCATTATATATCACCGTGGCCAGTCCCACAATCATCTCAATATGCATCTATCACCACGTCTCTATATCCGTTCCCCCGATGTTTTCACTTTTCTGGACCAGCAATCTCCAGGTTTTCTCCCTCGGTGCGCTTCGGCCCAGCCTCGGTCAAGCATATCCCCCGAAACCCGACGGGGTAGCTGCTAGTGACTAATGCATAAGTGGGTCGCGTCTGAGCCGGCTCTCCTCTACCAAATGCCGGTGTAGGGTATGCAGATCCTGTTAGACGCTCCGAGGCTCTGATTAAGCTTCCGTTTTGGGCTCAGCTGCTTCATACTCCGGCTCTTTGCCATCTCTTTTGGTATGGGGCTGCATCCAGCACGCATAGCTGGGCCATTTGCCGGCCAAATCCGCACGAGAACCGGAAACATATGCGTTCTTGAATTGGTGGAGATGCTCTCCCCACGCGACAGGCTCGGTCGGGTTATCTGGCACCGACCTGATCTAAGCCATGGCGCTTGAGGAGGGGCATTTCCACTCTCATAGCGGGGCAGCATCGCATTCTGTGTATGTGAGCAGCTTCTGTGTCAATGCCATGGAATGAGCACATGCCAGGCGTACCCCCAGCCCTGAGCATGCAGCTCATCCGTCTGGATGAAATTCCAAAGCTATTGGCCAATCGTTAGTTAATTCGCCTTATTATAATTCCCCGTAGGATATAAATCTATGTCCCGTGCACACCCACCTCCCCTACCCTCAATTCCGTGTCCTAGCATACATAGACGGCGTATCCTTCCCTCTTCCTTCCCTCACTTCCTCTTCCCTTTTCTCTCCAAACCTTCCTCTCCCACATTCCTCGGCTTCAGTGATCATCCTTGTACTCAGAATCGCTGTTCAAGTTCACCAAGCCGCCCACTGAACCATGGCTCAAGAATCCAGGTTCACGATCAAGGCCATTAGGTCATTCATCATCGGGGGTGTTGGTTCAGGTACGCAGTGGTGCCGCCATTGAAGGCGGACGACCCCAAATTCCAAACATTAAGAACCGGGCGTGACTAACAATCGGCACTCACAGGCGGCGATTACCACAATGTGAAGGGTGGTCACTGGTACGAGGCACCGAAACTTCCAAGCTCTCCTTCGCAAGCTAATATGTCATGACAGGCTGATCGATAGCGATATCTCCACGCCCTGTTCCAGATGGGAACAATTCCGCAAATCTCGCACCAGCTGGGGTATCAATGTTCTCGGCTCGTTCCTCGTCGAAATTGAATCTGCAGATGGGACTGTTGGTATTGCAACAGGCTTCGGTGGTAAGTGTCTCCCAGCCTCCAGATCATTCCAACTTCTGGGCCATCTCTTTTCGCAATAGAGTAGCATTATTCTGACTGAAACTTCCGCGACGCAGGTCCACCGGGCTGCTGGCTTGTTCACCAGCACTTCGAGCGCTTCCTGATCGGTGCCGACGCTCGCAACACCAACCTACTCTACGAGCAGATGTACCGAGCATCTATGTTCTACGGCCGCAAGGGTCTTCCCATTGCCGTCATCTCCGTGATCGACCTTGCCCTCTGGGATCTCATCGGCAAGCTGCGCAACGAGCCCGTTTTCCGACTGATCGGTGGTGCCACCAAGGAGCGCCTCGACTTCTACTGTACCGGCCCCGAGCCAACCGCTGCACGGGAGATGGGATTCTGGGGTGCCAAGGTGCCTCTGCCATTCTGCCCCGACGAAGGTCATGTTGGCCTGCGCAAGAACGTCGAGTTCCTGCGCAAACACCGCGAGTCTGTCGGCCCGGACTTCCCCATCATGGTGGACTGCTACATGAGTCTCAACGTTTCATACACTATTGATCTGGTTAAGGCGTGCCAAGACCTGAATATCAACTGGTGGGAAGAGTGCCTGACCCCCGATGACACCGATGGCTTTGAGCAGATCAAGCGCGCCCATCCCACAGTCAAGTTCACCACTGGTGAGCACGAGTACTCTCGCTTCGGCTTCCGCAAGCTGGTAGAAGGTCGCAACCTCGACATCATCCAGCCCGATGTCATGTGGCTCGGTGGCATGACGGAGCTGCTCAAGGTTGCTGCCCTTGCAGCAGCCTATGATATCCCCGTCGTCCCTCATGCCAGTGGCCCATACAGTTACCACTTCGTCTTCTCCCAGCCCAACACACCCTTCCAAGAGTACCTCGCGAACTCTCCTGATGGCAAGAGCGTGTTGCCTGTGTTTGGCGACCTCTTCCTGGACGAGCCTATCCCCACAAAGGGTTACCTGACCACTGCCGACATTGACAAGCCAGGATTCGGTCTTACCATCAACCCTGTTGCTCGCGCCAAGCTGATTCCTTCCACATACCTCCTTACACCTCCCCCACTCCCTGCCTTGAGCACACCAGCCGTGGCTGCACCCGCTGAGGCTGCACCCACCGAAGCGAATGCCTCGGAGCAAAAAGAGGCCAATGGCGTTGTTGAGAAGCTCTCAGAGAAGATTGAGCAACTGACGACCAGCACGTCAGCATAAAGGGGTTATTTGCAATCAAAATGTAACCCTGAGAAGGCGTCTGAGCCTATTAGAATAGACTTTTTCTCCCCTTTTTCCCCCGCATCAGCTCGCTCCATGGGCCCATTTTATGAGACTGTTCAGTGTATGTAGCATAGGCATCGTTTTTACCTCTCATTGAGTTTTCTCGGAGACCGAGTCATAGAACTAGGAGCTTGTTCTTAGCGAGAATATTCAGTTGTGTTATGAGTCTCCGATTCGAGAAATAAAGGCATTGAAAACTATATATTCATTTGCGTGTTGTGATGTATGAATCTCTAAATTCGAGAAATCGAGGCAGCGACAAGGTTCCCGAACGACACGTGCAGGTGATGGTAGGCAGTGTGGCGCCCTGCCTTTCGAGTTCCTAGGCCATGGCGGCGGTGAGAGAGAAAGCGCAGCCAAATTATCGCTCATTATGCGTTTATAATACCGAGGTCTTATCATGATGGCGTGAGGTCGAAGATAGGAGAAACCCAAGAAGGGGATGCCGGGTAACCGCCCGGGCTCCGGCCCCGATGGTACGGCCATCAAGCCGGAAACGGCGGCCCTGGAGGTGGGGGACCACTTTCGCCACGGGCAATCCCAGGATCGTGGTCGGGCCCATCGTGGTGTTTAAAATATCTACCATGTGGTGTGTCAGGGCCGTTGAGAATTAGCATGGAAGCCTACCCACGTCTAGCAGGCATCGTGCGTGCGTGATAAGGTGGGTGATGGCGGTTGGGCCCCACGTCCGGGTGGGCGCACTCCCCCGTGAGTCTGGAACCAGACGGTCACGATAGTTTATGGGGAGATACGGTGGGCGAGTGGACGGTATCGTGACCCAGCGCCGAACGGTGGCTCGACGCCGTTCAGCGACTCCATATATTTGACCAAGTCGCTCCCACCGTGCAAGATCAGATTCCAGCTGTATGTCGTCCCATCTCATTTGATCCCATCTCATCTCATCTCATCTGATCTTCACTCCACGCTCCTCCAAGTCGATCAGATTGGTTGCACAGCACGAAAAGAGGCATTGTTCGCCGCGCCATAAATTACCTAATCATCCACTGTAGCGAATCAATATTTCTGATTCCTCGGAGCGTGCGTCGGCATCTCGCTACAAAGCAGCCCGAGGAGTCCCCATTTCCCTCTACGCCTCACCCGCAATGATGGCTTGTTCGACTCTTCCTGTTCGCCACGACCCCTCACAGGGCCGCATCTCGGGCTGCCATTCCTCCCCGCAACAGCTAGATTAGAAATTTGCATCGTGGCAGGTGCACATTGCCAGACAGATTACCGACTTTCAGCATTAAGGGGCCATCGCCCCATAGCTTCCATCTGTAGCTGCCATCAATAAAGGGCATCGTCGTCTTCTTCGCCGCCATCATCGGCATTCCATCAGACCAGTCCCTTGGACATTACCCCAGCCGAACTACCACCCCGGATCCTCAACTTTAGTATACCTTTACTCCTCATCCCAGCGTGTTCTATTTTTGTTGCGCATTTTTGGACGTCCGGCGCACATCACCACAGTTTCCACATACGGGCATACTATTCACGAGGCTCTATCACGTTCTTGCTACCTTTTGGATTTATCATAGTCCACTAATCAAAACCATCAACATGGTATTGAACGGCATTCTCGCCGGCAAAACGGCCATCATCTCTGGAGGCACAACCGGCATTGGTCGTGCCATCTGTCTCGAGTATCTCCGCCAGGGAGCTCACGTCGTAGTCAACCACCTGGGCCTGCCCAAGGACCAAGAGCATCTGGACTCTCTCATAGTCGAGGCAAAGGCCATCGAAACCAAAGGCACCCCTGTGGGCGAGTTGGACCACGTAGCAGGCGACGTGCGAGACCCCGAGACGGCGACCCAGCTCGTCACCCGGGCAGTGGCGCACTCCCCCAAGAACCGCCTCGACATCTGCGTCTCCAACGCGGGCATCTGCACCTTTGCCGACTTCCTCACCCTCGACGCAGACCTCTTCCACGCCACTGTCCGCACCAACCTGGACGGGGCCTTCTACATCGTGCAAGCAGCAGCCCGCCAGATGGCGCTCAATCAGACCCCGCCCGGAGGCAGCATCATTGGCATCTCGTCCATCTCCGCCCTGGTCGGCGGCGGGCTGCAGACGCACTACACCCCGACAAAGGCGGGCGTCCTGAGCCTGATGCAGAGCACCGCCGTTGCGCTGGGCAAGCACGGTATCCGCTGCAACGCGCTGCTGCCGGGGACCATCAAGACCCAGCTGAACGACAAGGACTTGGCAGACGACGCCAAGCGTACCTACATGGAAGGCAGGATCCCGCTGGGTAGGACGGGCGAGCCCAAGGACATGGCCGGCCCGGCTGTGTTCTTGGCCAGCGAGGAGCTCAGTGGCTATGTGACTGGGGCACAGCTACTTGTTGATGGTGGCTTGTTTGTCAACCTGCAGTGAGATCCGAGGTGAGAAGAGGTGAGGAGGGGAGGCAATCAAGGGGGGAAAAGAGGCGGGGGATGTGAAACTATTCTTCATTTCTCTCACATCGCATTAGTTGTACATACTTGCATCACATCTTCATACGGCCAAGCCTAGCGACAGCTGTTCTGGGGCGGCGTGCAGTATTATCCATGCACGCCCGCGGCAAACGAGAAAATAATAGTGGAAATACCAACAACACCGTGTTTATGAGAGTTGAACTATCATTTCTGATTTGACATGTGAAAAGAATTCACTCACACACCGTACATGGGTTACATGGATGTGTACTCACCACAGGGAGAGACTGCAAATATGAGGTCTTCCTGCATGACGCTGCCTGGATTACGGCACCGAGATGTTGATCTATGTATGGGGTGCAGCACAATATTGCGGGATGAATGGCAATTAGCTCAATATGAGGAAAGTCTGAGGGAACAGGGGAAGAATGCCATGCGTCCACGACACGTCCATGCGGCTGGGGGTCCATGGGTTACAGTAACATGGGTTGTTTCCTCGTCGTTAAGAGGGAAGTGGATGTTTGGATAACCAGACTAGGATGGATCGGCTGGTTGAGGTTGGAGGGACGGACAAGTTCCTTGCGGATGGCGCGACATGATGAAACATGGAACAAGCCCGTTGATGCTGGAGAGCTCCATGTGCCCGCTGGGTCCTTGGCAGCGGGCGCTGCTGATTCAGAAAGCCGGCCGAGGATAGCGATGAGAGATGGCGAGCTGACACCATCAGATGAATGTTGCACCAAGATCTCCGCCCCTGGCGCAAGGAAGAGGTTGCGTACAACAGCATGTTTGATAGCCAGACCAGACCGCTTCACATGTAGGCTCTGTGATCGCCGTCGGAATGTGACAGTCATTTTGTGTTTTCTCGGAAATGACATAGCAACCAATTCGGCTTCCCAAAGAGAGATAGGACTGTGATTACACGCCAGGAATAACATTCGTGCATGTCGACGTAGGTGCCTGGCCATCACGTTTATCTAGCTGCATCTCATTCACTCGGGGCATTCTCTAGCCCTGTAAATCGTGGCAGGAAACGGAACGAATCTGCAGGCTCTTTGGCTGCACCTTCCGACGGTGGTAGGTACCTACCGTCCTGGACGGCAGGCCCGCAGGTCCGAGGTCCGTACCCAGGTCGTACTCATAGACTCAATTTTGTATGAGGGAGATACCGGGCGGGTACATGCAAACGTAAAGCCAAGAGCTGCATGCTCAAGACGGGCCAACAGCGCCAAGGTACCCTGTACGCCAAATCTCCATGGTAAGTGACTCATGAACGATTTTTCACGCTCTGACGTCGAGGCGCTATCCGAGGATGTCGTTGGTAATCCGTTCCATCCAATGGGCAAATTGCAGGACACCCTGCTTGCTGCGCAGTGGGTTCCGGGTCCACCGTCTCCTCCACCGAAAGCGGATCCGAGTGCAGCGGATGTCGATTCAGCTTTCGGTCCGCCAGGGATTGACCTTGACGTCACGGTGGGCTCTCAGCGAGAAAGACCCTTTTGTTTCCATGGCGGGCGTGCCTGGAATCCACCGTCTACGACAGTCAAGCAAGGGATTAATTTTAGCCCAGCGGCATGTACTTTTGTATCTCTTGGTACGTAGGTAGGTAGGCAGGCCTGCTGGTAGGCTTGCGGGTAGACGGTGGCTGCTACCGTATCTTTCGCCGCATTCTACGGATACTAATAGCAGGCTGGAGGCTTGTGAACGTCCAACACTAGTAAAACAATGGCTCAAGATTGCCTTCCAGCAGCGCCTATATTTCGTCCACACTCGCACCATCGTATCGAATTGCAGATTGGAAAGTACCGGGTACCATGCACGGCATAAGGATACGATGGCGTAACCGCGGTAGCCATTACACTCAAGCTCAGCTAGAGTAATATTGCGCAGTCAGAGTCAGACGCAAGCATGAAAGGAGGGATGTACCGGCCGCGTTTAGCACCATAGATAACGAAACATCGCAATTTCTGGCTCTGTTTAGGCCATTAGCCAATGACGCTGCATGCTCCATCTCTTGATAGATGGGCATCTGGCGGACAGAGGACCCCTGCTTGGCGCCGCCTTGACATCCATTGCTTCACATTGCAACAAGTTCAGATAAGCCAAGTCAGCTCGGTAATACCCAACCACACAGCCGAATTGAGTTATCTCTGAGTCCATATTGGCTGGCATCACCCTAGGGTTTACCCAACATCTCGGGCTTATTGCCATCATCCCCTGCCTCTTTTCTCACCACGGCGGAAGCAAGCAATGATTTGCAAGGCTGCCTGTCAACCTGTCTGCCGTTTGGCTGCCCTCCCCCCACTCCGTCCCTCCCTCCAGCCTGAGGAGCAGGAGGGGTCGGAGGGGCAGTCCTCAGCAATATGTACCTTGTCGTAATATCACAGCCTTTACCTTATCGAGGTACCGTTTACATGCTGCGAGCTGGGTCCCGGGGTACCTCTGCCGAGGTACTGCGCCGCCCAGATAGCGCCAGGCAGGACCTAGCTGCATGTACAGAAGGACTCCATCCGGCCAGGGGCCCACCCACGGTTTTCACCGCTCGAGCCGCTGCTGATCGGCTCCTGCGCTAAATTTTAAGGTACGAGCAGGAAAATACGTAACGTGGTAGGCACCGTCCGTCCGTCGTGCTTGCCAATGTTCATGCCTGTGCCGTGCCATCATAGGCCCCATTCCGGGTCGCTCCACATGAAACCTCCTGGCCAATCCTTAGTCCACATCCGACAACGCGCCCCCTTCTGCTAGCCGTGTTCCTGACGGCCTCCATCACAATCATACTGATGACGCCCGTCTCCTAGTGTCAACTCTGTCGGCCTCGTTGTGAATCGCTTGCCTCTCTCAGAATTTTCAGCCTGTGGGACCGCCATGTGGATAACCTCCCTCGCCACGGCCACTGGCTGACTCGTTCTGATGGATTGAGACAAGCTTCCTTCCATCAGTCTCCAGAATAGATACAACGACAATAAGCACAACTATGTCACTCTTCTCGAGTCAACTCCAGGGGGAGTCTGTCCATCAAGATCAAGCTCCATAGCAAATCTATAAAGACAGACAACTCTCCCACCGTTCTGGACGGTAGTTGTTCTCCATCATCCTCTCCACAGCATCATCAAGACCTTGCTTTCTTGTTTATTCCATTAGACTTTGGCAGAGCCAAGTTTGTCCTACCATCAGTCAAAAAGCCAGCTGCTTAATTTGTTTCCTCACGATTCCGCCGACTATCTCCGCAAAGAACACATACACACAGTTCACCATGGCACCTCCTCAAAGACAGTACTCTGGTCACTCTGATGACTCCAACCTCACATACGGCTCTAGTGCCGCCTCGTCCCCGGATCTCAGAGCAATTTCAGAGGATCAGCTCGCTCAATTGGGCACTCCTATCACTCCTCCCTTAGAAAATGCCGTGGCCGACTCCTTTGTCTTCGCTTTCGACATTGACGGTGTTCTGGTCCGCGGTGGCAGAGCCATTCCCGAAGCCGTCGAGGCTATGAGATTCCTCAATGGCGCGAACCCATATGGTATTCAAATGTAAGTTGAATTGCTTCGACTCCACCCCCGGATCGCCATCTTTCAGGTCCACATTAAAGACGATGGCATCGTGACATTTTTTCTGGGTCAGAGGAGAGTTGTATGCTTCTCCTAACATGACCCATTTACACGTCACACTGCATCAGCCATTCTACCCTGCAACGTCCAACATCAGCCCCTGCACAGTATCAGAGAAGAGCAAATTACTAACAGCATATCATGTAGTCCTCACATCTTCTTGACCAACGGAGGTGGCAAGACTGAGGAAGAGCGATGCCAGGATCTATCGAGCCAACTTCAACAAGATATCAAGCCCGGCCAATTCATCTGCGGCCACACCCCCATGCGCGAGATGGCTGAGACCTACGGCACTGTTCTTGTCATTGGTGGTGAGGGTGAGAAGTGCCGTCACGTCGCCGAGGGCTACGGCTTCAAGGATGTTGTCACCCCTGGCGACATCATCAAGCACAACTCTGCTACTACTCCATTCCGCAAGTTGACGCCAGAGGAGCACTCCAACTCCCGTGACCGTGACTTCTCAGACGTCGTGATTGACGCCGTCTTTGTCTTTGCCGATTCCAGAGACTGGGCTGGTGATATCCAGATCATGCTTGACCTTGCCATGTCCAAGGGTGGTCGTGTTGGCACTCGCAGCGACACGTTTGACCAGGGTCCTCCTTTCTACTTCTCCCACAACGATGTTGTCTGGTCTGCCGCCCACGAGCACGTCCGTCTGGGCATGGGCGCACTCCGCCGCATGTTTGAGGTTACATTCAAGGACCTCACTGGCGGCCGAGGCAAGCTCACTACCCACGCTTTTGGCAAGCCCCAGGTCTCAACCTTCGAGTTTGCTTCTCGACTGATGGGTCAATGGCGCAACACTGAGCATGGTTTGGTGGCTCCTCCCTCAACTGTCTACTTCGTTGGTGACACTCCCGAGAGTGACATCCGCGGCACCAACGCCGTGAACGAAGTTGCCGACAATGATTGGTACAGCATCCTCGTCAGAACTGGTGTCTACGAGGAGGGTACTGTGCCCGCCTACAAGCCTCGCATCACCGTCAACACCGTCCTCGACGCCGTCAAGCACGGTCTGGACCGCGAGATGGAGAAGAAGCGCACTGCTCTTCCACTGAAGCAGGATGTCCTTACTGCTAAAGATGTCCTCCACACCGAGAAGGTGCAAGTTGTCATCGAGTAGGTTTGGATTCTCAACCAGCCAACCCTGAGACTTGCTTAAACAGATGAGCTGGTTCTCACTAAGAACGTTACGAATTTTCTTTAGTTATAACAGGACTTGTACGGAAACATTTGGATATGGAGTTTTTTCTTTTCTTCCTTTTTCTTTCTTCGCTTCATGAGCTTGACCGCAAGAATTCGGCAAGCAGATAGACTAGCAGATGACAAGCCATAGATAGACTGTGAACTTTTTATCTCTTGGCACTTAGACTTGCTCTGCCCTGATGATACAGATACCCTCTGGGATGTGCAATTAGATCATCCCGAAACAGAAGCACAAATTCTACAAAATTACAACACTTGCCTTGCATAGACATGTGATTTCATCAAGACCAGTTTTAACTAAAACTTCACCAACCAGTGTCCTTTTGGACACCTTGGTATGATTTCCTTTTGAGATGTCTCGCACAATTGATATATCCACGCTAGCCGCCTGAAATACGGGCCACGCATGAGAGAGAAGTCACCATCCGCTTGTGGCTAAGTGAATGCTGGAGCACTGCCTAGTACACTTCTCGACAAAAAGCCTCTTGGGCTCAAACAAGCCGTCTATTCCTAGTTCTACATCAGACCATTAGCTTACGCTACTATCCACTTGCATGGCCATCCATGGGTTTACCAACGGTATCCCCACACTTGCATTATGCATCGAAATTCATACGGATGGCGAGCGTGGGCTCAGAAGACTGGGTATTGGGGATTTGTAAACCGAGGATACCCTCCTTGGCACAGTGAGCACGTAAATCATGGCAACGCTAGTCAAAGTCCCGCAGCAGGGGAATCTCTATGAGGACGGAGAGGGGTGTGATGGGAGAGCGACTGTAGAGGAGCGATATACCGCAAGCATCCAACTCGCGAGAAACGACACAACGGTGCTCTAGGCGCCCTCGCCCCCCTCGTAGAAAACGAACCCTCCCCACTGCGACTCGGCGGCCCAGCCAGCAGAATCGACTGCGTCGTGGCGGGCAGACCGCTGGGCGAGAGCCTCCTCGGCGCTACACCCAGGAGGAAAGCCCCGGACGTGCTCGCGGTCGACTCGTAGCCACCCCTTCCAGCCGGCCACGACATCGCCCACCCCAAACCCCTGGATGACAATGGTTCCCCACCAGTGTCGGTGGGCGCTCGGCCTGGGCGCCTCGCCGTAGAGCATGAAGGTTTGGGCCTCGGCCACCAGGCGTTTCAGATTGTCGCCCGTCGTGTCGGCGGCGGCTTCTTCCGTGCCCGCGCTGCTTGGGATGCTGGTGCTGGACGGCCGCTGGATGTAGATGTGACGGGCGTCTGCATCCGTGCAGGTGAGACGGGTGGTGTCGAATCGCCCATCGAGATCGAGGATGAGTACGGCGTGGGAGAATGGCGGGGACACGAGTCTGGATACCACTTTGTAGAGGAGTGGATGGTGTCGGCCGGTAATTGACAGTGTTGGAACTTGAGTAGCTCGGAACTGACGTGCGATGAGGCCGTCGAGCTCTTCTATATGGGTTGCTTTTGGGGGAGGTCGTCCCCCTGGTTTGCCCGATGCTGTTGTGCGCAGGTCAAGCAGAACCTGAAAGGTGAATCATGTTAGCAGCTGTACCAGATAGACTCTTGCGCTATTTGGACATGGAGTAAATCGTGGAAGTATGGTAGGTACATCAACTCCTAGAGAATGTACAATGCGGGGTGAAGATTGACGTCAAATCAATCTTTCTCTGGATAAGGGCAATTGGGTTTACATATTGCGGCCCCAATCAAACAACAGCACTTTAGAGCGAATCCAAAGCATAAAAAGGTCAAAAAGGTCAAAAAGGTGAGGTGGTTGGGCAAAAAAAAAACAAATCGATAGTGTCATGATGAACGAGGCTGTGATGATCAGGAAAATCTCACATGGTGCGATACCTCAGTTGAAATCTTCCTCGGGTGTTCCCGATCCGTCACTCACCTCTTCCAAACTCATCTCCTCAATCTCGCCCAGAATCTGGCTCCCAGCTGCCGCCTCCATCACCACGAATGCACTTGACTGGAGGAGCCTCAAGTACTCAGCATCAGCCTCTCTCTTAACCTCTTAAAGCGCAAGGCACAATGTCGCCGCCTTGCCATCCGTTCCCCGCATCCGAGCTTCCCACCAAGGTGCAGGAGGACGCTCGTGGCAGGCGCCGCAAAGTCGAGCAGGGCAGCCGCCAGATAGAACTATCTGGCTGCAAGCTCTTCGGGATGCTGCAGTATAACTGCGAGGTCGAGAGGCCGCTGACTCGAGAGAGCGCCGTGCAGTGTTTTGCTGTTGAGCGGCTGTTTCGAAAGTGAGGAGGACCCGATCTGGCTCGGCACAGAATAGTCGAGCTGCAGTGCTAACAAATGTTCAATTATCTTAGATGCAGGGACAAAGAGGGAACCTTCACAGTTGAGACTACTGCGTTCGAAGGGGGAGGTGTCCAGCCGGAGGGCCCTGGTAGTGAAAATCATACATCCGAGGTATCAACGCCTGCTCAATGGTCGAGTCACTGGCATCCTCCACAATCGTCATCACCATCACAATAATTCATTTTCCAAAGGGCATCACACCAACTTGTACCAACACCTACTGTTACACTTACCCTCTAGATTATAATTTACATCATCACATCTCATCACATTTGTCCATTTATCACAAGTGCCTGGTGAAACTAGCTCAATCCCAGGACTCCTACACACAATGCACACCAAACAGGCATGTAGGCTTCTGCATCATTTTCAGTCAAGAAAGTGGTATCACAAAAGAGATATATCAGCAGTATTGATTAAGTCTTCGAAGAAGTACTATTTGGTATCCATCCCCACCGAGGCCGGGCAAAACAATGCCTCGTCAGTCGCCATTGTGTATTGTACATCTTGTCCGGCGAGAAGACCTCAGTCGGCCGTATAGCGTCTATAATCTACCCCGTCGATGGGGCTCGTTGTCCATTTCGCCATTCCTCGGGTGCAGGGCATCGAGTCGCTCAATGGCACAGCTTACTGCTTCGCAGCCCGCTCGGCCTCGAGCTTGGTGTAGAACTGGTCACGGGCCGCAGTTCGGGGAGCGTGGTAACCGTACCTGCAATGATCGTTAAATTCCGTGATCCGAACCCAATGAATTTCCCATCCGCAGCGTGCTTACCAGAAGAGGTTGGCCATGGCGAAACCGGTTCCTATAGCCTCGGTCAGTCACACCACTTTTTTTCCATAGATGCGTTCACCGAGCTCAGCAAGCTTTCAGCACTGTCGGGAATTCCATGCAACATCCCAATCACATACCGAGGGCGATTCCGAGGTCCAAGACGAGGTTTCGTCGGAGCATCTGTTCGAATCGAAATTAGCACAAAGTGAGCTCATACCGGGCCACCGGGTGTTCTCAAGTGGACAAGGCACGCCGCGCGAGCCATTGAATCGGGAGGAAAACGTACTCCAGTAATTGGTGCGACAGCCATTGTGACGAGTGTGTGATTGCTTTTGTTGAGAGCGGATTGTGTGAAGGTCGGGCGGTTTAGATACAATCAAAGACAAATAGGTAGGATGTGAGAGGTCAATTGGGATAATCGCGCCACAAGTCGTCACGTGATATGGAAAAGACCGGAGGGTCGGCAGATCCACGGAAAGCCGGAAAAGTACGTACCTACCGAAGAATTTCCTGCATCTCGTAGCTCTCCGGATTGCCAGTTGTTGCAGTATTGAGTAGCACTCAATTCAAGCTGTCGCAATGGCAATTCGCGTGGCCGCTCGGCGCCTGGCCGTGCCAGGTAGGAAAAACCTTATGCTCGAATTTCCTGCCCAGACAGTTCGCAATAACTAACAAAAGCCGACTTCTTACAGCCTCATCGTTACCCCGAACCCCCGCGGTACTCTCCAAGAACCTAGGCCCTACCGTTCAGTTTCGATCGAAATGGATTGATGCTCTGTCTGGAGCATTCAAATCTCTACGGGCTAGTAACTCCGTTCGCAAAACTTCGGCATCAGACGCTGGCGGTGTCGCACTCGAAGATCCCAAGAAACGCCAGGAGCAGCTCGCCCGGACCCTGCAGACAAGCAATACCGAAGGCAGCATCTTCCAGGATGAGATCGAGACTCCAAAGTCAAAGGAAAATGCGGCTTCTCCCGCCGGGGAGTTGACTCGCGAGACAGAGAAGACGAGAGCGAATACAGCCATGGTCACCGACCCCGACCCACGGGCACGAGTCCGCTGGCAACGGAAAAAGGTCATCCAAATGGTCAAGCGCAATGGGCAGCTTACCAAGGAGGAGAGGATTACGATGACAGAGAGAGAGCTGTTACATAAGAGCGAATTTCTGCCTACTTCGGTCAAGAAGCTTGTTATGCTTTCCCGCCAAATTTCAGGCAAGACTGTCGACGAAGCCATTTCGCAAATGCAATGGTCAAAGAAGAAGATGGGTGCTGAAATCAAGTACTATCTCGAAGAGGCTCGCGATCTCGCCATCGCTCAGCGTGGAATGGGACTCGGACGAGTTAATGGGGAGCTTTTTGATAAGCCCCGTAAGATTCAGACCAAGGAAGGGAAGTGGATAGAGATCACAGACCCAAGCCGACTTTATATTGCCCAGTCGTGGGTTGGCCGCGGAGAGTGGCGTGGCAAGGAGATTGACTACAAGGGCCGAGGACGGATGGGTGTCATTCAACACCCTGCCACGAGTAAGTTCACCGATTTGTTTGGCCTCGCCTACTCGTCAGGATTCTAATAATGACAATTTACAGGTATCACGGTGGTGCTCAAGGAGGAGAAGACGAGGATAAGGGAGTACGAGGAGCGACAAGCAAAGAAGCAAGCCAAGGGACCATGGGTACATCTACCCAATCGTAAAATTCATGGCCAACGACCTTATTATTCCTGGTAGATGATCAGGCCGAAAGGTCTGGTGGAAGGCGTTTGTAAACATAATGTATCACACAGCATATGTACAATAAGAATGAATTCGCGATGTCGATAGAGGGCGACTTCGACGCAGTTCAGGAAGCATACAACAAAACTTGTTGTTTTCTTTTTCCTTCATATTTCAGTGCCGTGTTGCTTGCCACAATTCCCGGGCTCGATAATATTTTCCATCAGGAGTAGGTTGTGTAGATTAGGTAGTACTTCAAAAGAAAGACTATCCAACCTACCTACGATGTACAGAATGGGTCCCTCGGGCATAAACGTCACCAACGACCGATCCTCAACGACTTTACATATTTGCTTTTAGCGCTTCATGATTTATCATAACATCGGTCCCAGCTACCAAACACCTTCTACGAACAGAACAATACCGAACGACACGCAAATATAAACGTCAAGGTTCAACTTTCTTGCACTCCAAGTCGCCAAAATTTCAAAAATGGATCAAAGAAACGCTCCTCGTGAGGCAAAAATGCCCAGGACCACAGATACCTCACTGCCAGCAGATCAGGTACACCATTCCAGTCAGGCCTCGTGAGACATTCTGCCTCTTCAAGTTTCGGCGGTGATTGATCTTCAAATCTTCTTTAGATCAAGGTATAAGGACAGAGCCCGATTGACTACACCATAGTACGAGGTGTTTGCCGCGGCAACATGTCCTCGTATCGGTTCGCCTGCATTTCGAATGATTCCCCCCCTCGCTTCTCCACATAAGAACCCTGGTCCTGCGATGCATAAGGCCTGCTATCTTTCTGGATCGGTCTTGAGATGTCCATGGGGCGTTTAGCAGGAGCTTGGTTTTGTCGCTTGCGTCGAAGGAGGAGAGCAATAACAACAACGACGATTGCAATAACGGCAACACCAACACCAACACCAATCCCAACCGCTGCGCCCTTTGAGAGTCCTCCGGCTGCCCCAGCCGCCTCCGTGTCATCATCCTCCTTACTGCTATCCTTGCCTGCTGAAGTCGAGGTAGCAGCAGCAGTCGCCGAAGTTGAGGACGCAGATGTCGCAAGCTATTTATCAGGTGTCAGTTTTACACTCAAAGAGGGACCAATCGGGGTTCAGCGTACGGTCGTAGAAGCTCCACTGGTCACTGAGGAGGAAGAGGCGGTCGATGTTGCTGTGGTGGATACTTCGGAGGATGAGGATGATTGTGTAGTAGCAGACGAAGAGACCGCCGACGTTGTTTCCGCTACGGTCGTGGAGGAGGCGGCCGAGGTTGATTCGACAGTGGTTGAGCTCGGTACGGCTGTACTTGACGATGGGACAACAACACCTGCACCTCGATTAGCCCGTGGTTGAAGAGAGATATGACCCATGAGGAATACCTTTGCAGTATGAATCATTGAAAAATCCAGTAATTTCATCAGCCTGGGCTTGACAATCAGTGTAGGCAAATCGGCCTACAGATTCTTTGAACTGTGTGAGAGCACTTCCACAGAGACACGTCTTGTCTTCGGCCGAAGCGCATCCCCACGTTGTGACTTGAGTAATTGCGTTGGCAATGCCCCTTTGCTATTTAGAAAATTAGTACAAGGTTCGCTGCAGGCCAGATTTATCCATGGATAGCTGCTCCAGCTTCTGGCCTATGCGGTGGTTGGCGAATAAACCTACAATACAGTCTGCCTTGGCGTCTTGTGCTGAGGCGCCCAGTATTTGAAGCGCGCCCACTGCGCTCAAAACAAGAAGGCTACGCATCTTGTGAAAGGAATATTTATCACCGCAATTCTCGGAATATCGATTGAGAGGCAAAAACTTGCACGGGCTCCCGTCCAAGCGGTAGTGCTCCGAGAACGCTCAAGTAGTATGATGCAGCCACAAGGTCTTGTCAGTGAAGCAAGATGACGGGATATTCAATGGCAATGTCCGTCTTTGGCGTGAAATCTGGATGGCGACTGTTGCCTGGGAAGCCAATCTCGGTGGCGCGGTTTCGCGAGAGATGCACGGGTAGATTTGTATGGATCGTAATGAACGTGATGTTTCACACGCCTGAATTCCAGAGAGAAGACCAAGTTAAGGTGGGTAATGCCTACGCAATGGGTCGGTCGTACAGTGAGAAGAAAGGCGGCAGACGTTATTTCAGATCCAAGGGGACTTGACACCGGCAAACGAAGGTCTGAACTGGAAAGTTTGTCTAAAAAAAAATCGAGTTTTAAACACAGACAAATGTGAAGGCAATGGATATCCTCGGGTCGAAAGAAGCGCCTGAAATCGGGCTAGATGGGGCGAGCCGAGGAAGGGGTCAGAAGGAAGTGAGAAATGGAAAAAGAGATCGGAACGGAGCCTAGGCACCTGCAGAAGAGAAAGAAAGAATGAGAGTGGCAGATGTGAATAGAAGGTGAAGACAAAGACGATCCCATGGATGGGTCCGCGAGGGATCTCAGTGGGATATGTGAGAGATGCAGATGTGGGGACCAGACAGCACTAGCGTCAAACAGAAAGATGGATCATGGATGCGACCACCAGCGTTGGCCTTTTGCTGGCCCCTGGAGGGTGGAAGCTGGGACCGCCCCTTCACTTCTCCGGGACAAGACCTCAGAGGGCGGGCAGGAAGTACCAGCCGCTCCGTCCGGCGGTCAGGGTAGTCGTAGGGAGGGTAAGGTATAGTACTTTGGCAATGGGGTCTTCGTCAGCGGGTTCCTTGCATACCGCAACAGGTGAAGGTACCAGTACCTACATACCTACTAAAACCTCCCCGGTACGATAATCGTCGTGCGGGAACAGGGCAGGTATGAGGCTGAGTTATTCATCTCCCACTCGATCCCCTCTTCTCTAGCTAGTTCCAGTGCTCACTTGGCCAATTTCTAGTGTATTAGGGCGATGGTCAAACGCGACTACTGCAATTGATGCCTTTGTCCCTAGCACACGGGATACCTATAGGGCTCGGCATCAAGAATTGCCCTTGTCGAGCTCAAAGGCAGCAGAGGGAAGCCTCCAACTGCCCACCAGCAACAGCTATTTTAGTGGCCAGCCGCTGGCCTACTAGCCAGGCACCAGCGCCTAGGCCTAAGGCAGGTACGACGACGGCGCCAACGGTCCCACCAGGCGCTTCGTGCCTGCCTTACTCAGGAGCCAGCGCTGCTATTACGGGTGCATAGAGCATTCCTCATTCGCCCCAAGCTGGCTGCCGCTGAGGTCAGGTCATCCATCGGTGTGCATGAGTGAGGTGCCTGTGATGTGCGCAGGATCAAGGGGGGCGCACAACAAACAGGTGCTGTCTCATCTCACTAGAAGGGGCAACACATCTTGCCTCCCGAGGCCAGTTGTTCTGGCGTTGGCTCGTGGGAGGATTATTCCAGACGGTGGGATGGAAAAGGCTGACTCCCTCCGCTACGAGATTTCCTGCCCTCGCTTCCACATCCAGGGCTCCAATGAATTTTGTGCGCAGGCTATCACTAGCTGTTCTTTTTTGGTCTAGGAAGGTGGTCGTCTGATGGGTCCCTCAAGATCAAAGCACAACCGGCTGGCGCTATTGTAATGTTGACAATTATTGCTCTTGGGGAGACTCTGATCCTTGCCACATTCATCTCTTACAGCTGCTCCCTCGATCAGCTGCGAGGGGCTGAAACACCCGGGGAAGGGAAATTTGAAAAGGGAGCCCCTGGAGGCCACGCCACATGCTAGCTTGTACATTAAGGAATTCGTCAATGTCATCATCAGGGGTCAGTCCACAACGTGGCGGCACTCCAAACGCCTAGGTATGCACCACGTGTAAACGGACTTTCTTGACCTGGACCCTACTTATTAGATAGCCGCCATATACTATGTAGTATACCTAAACGCAGAGCCGATATAATAATACCGCACGCGTTGATGATTTTGGAAAATAAGCCTCCATCGCGAGCTTGCTGCCCTGGCTGCAACGGTATGTGGGGAACGCTGATCTGCGTCAGGGGAAAGCAGTCAACGTCACGCCGGGCATGACTACTATGTATGTAGGTATCACCTATTTCCTTGGTACAGGAGTCCACAGCGGCCGTGGGAAGTTGCACGAAAGCTGTCGGAGTCGGGGAATTCATGCTGATATGATAGGGACATATATACTAGCATCTACTACTCATCTTCAGGCATGCGGTTATTGATCACATGCAATGGGTGCCATTCCGCAGGGATATGCCGCTGTTCTTTGTCCTTGGGGCGAGCCCTGTAACGGGCGTCATAATTAATTGGCAGTCCGGTACTTGACTACCCTGTACCTTACACTCATAAAGTCTCGGTGATGACACAGGCGACCTCATGTTGCACATGGTTTCCTGGTTTCTTTTATTCTATTAAATCTCAGTATCACGTCGTTGGCGGCCATTGTGGCCTTGTAGTACCGAAATATACCCAAGCATTGCAGCAACATGGAGATGGCAGCGAAATTATTACATGAAAAAAGGACCAGCTCCAGGTCCAAGGGATATCCATCGATGGAATACCAGTGGTACGAATGGTAACGCACATCTGATTGAGCCACATATTCATCACATGTACAAGTTTATACAAAGTTTCCCGTGAAAACACCTAGGAGATGCTGTTAGCCATGTTCCCCAAAGAACTGGTTGTGACTTTGGTAAGTAGGACATCTAGGTAGTTAGTTATGGAGGTGATAATATTGGGTACAGGGACAGATGCCCAAGTGGGTTATCGGTCCCTTATCGGCCACCCACAATAGGCACCTTAAAGCCGGCAGGTGCTATTGGCCCAACTTAGCAGGCAACCTTGCTCAGTCAGCCGTTTTTTTGTCGTCGCGCATTGTCGCAAACAGTTTCCTGGCAGCTGACAAAGGTTTCTTTCCGTGTTGACGGTTACATGACTGTTACAAGACGATTGCACCCAGAGCTTGTTGAATTCGTAACCTCCCATGGTTAGCCTACCTTAGGCTTAGGTGCATTGCGAAGCGACCTGTAGGCAAGGACGGCCGAAACCTTTATCGTGTTCCAGACTGACGTCTCGTGACAGGGTGGTGTCTGAGGTGTAGTGCTTGACTGATTCCGAACATGGCCAACCCCATTGGCGAAGATTCCTGGCTGGCTTACCTCGAGGAGATTGATCGCAACGCCTCCGACCTCGAGAAACGTGTAAACGCGGTCGAAATATACAAACGTGCAGTTAATTCGGAACCCGGTAGTTTGCGACTATGGCTTGCATACTGCAACTACTTCTGGTCCCTATGGGAGGCCAGCCAGTCACCCACGAGTGGTTGGCCTGAGGAGGAGCAGGTAATGGGGCGGGAGTTATTCTCGTTTGGCGCAGCCCTGGACCTCTGGCAGCAGGGTTACGAGGCTGTCAAGTATCGGCTGGACGATAGCCATAAGCTCTGGAATCGTTGGGTCTCGCTGGAGCTGGAACTCCTTGCGAAAACTAAAACGCCCGAGGGGGTGAAGCGCATAAGTCACCTCTACCGGAACCGTCTTCTGACCCCCCATCTCAACTGGGACGAAACATCGCAAGCGTATTCGAGCTTTCTGTCGGAATACAACAAGGCTTCGTGGGAGGAGTCTATGAGGGATGTCACACAGAATGCGCAGGAGGCCAAGCGCTTAATTGCAGCTCGCGACCCCTTCGAATTAAAACTCCAGAAAGCTCAACGGAGCGACGACCTCGAATCTCAGAAAACCGTCATGTCTGACTATATCGAATGGGAAATGCGGCAAAGCCGACGGAACAATGATCACCCAGAAATTGGCATTGATCTCTGCCGCGGGCTCTATTCACGGGCACTGACAGGGGTGTTTTCCTCAGACGAATCTATGTGGTATGAGTATGCTACATTTCTCTCTTCATCCTTCTCAGACCCCCGAGCGGCTGAAATGCTGCTCGAACCTATTCGTTGTGCCGTCCAGCATTGCCCCTGGTCTGGCCGACTCTGGAATCGATTCATTCTCACCGCGGAGGATGCCAGGTTGCCTTTCGCTGAAATTGAATCCATCAAACATTCAGCGACTAGTGAGGAACAGCTCTACAAAGATGGCATGGAGTCCATGATTGAGATGTATGTTGCGTGGTGCGGATTTCTCAAAAGGACTGCTATGGATGCCGAGGCAGGGGATGAGGCTGTTGATGTTGCTGATGTTGGGTTGCCCGCTGCATTGGAAGATGTGGCAGTTACTGGCAAGAGGCGATATGGCAAGAACTTCCAAGGCGACCCTAAATTCCGACTCGAGCGCATGTATATTCAGTACCTTACGGAGAAGAAAGGGGCTATTGATGAAGCCAGGGCGCAGTGGAATAAGATGGCCAGTCTCCCGATCCATGCCGACAACCATGACTTCTGGTTCCGCTTCTATATGTGGGAAATGCTCATTTTCTCCTCAAAGCCTCAGACCATGAGAAGTCCTACGCCATCCAGTCTGTCTGCTGGTTTCAAGGTGCCGTCCCAAGCAACATCGGTATTGAGCCGTGCCGTCGCTCGAAGGAACATAGATTGGCCAGAGAAGGTTCTTGAAGTCTACATACAGCACTGCAATGACTATGAACCTCCCAACTCTGTTCGGGTAGCTACAGACAGAGTGTATAAGGCTGCTAAAGAAGTTCGAAAACGGCGTGAGCGAGAAGAGAGAGAAAAGCAAGAAGCATACTCGGCATATTACGCTGCCCAGGAGGTGAACACGACGGCACCCACAGAGGTTGATATTCCGTCCGATGGTAAGCGGAAACGAGGCGATGATCAGCCCGATACTGATCATGAATCGGAAAGCGCTAGCAAGCGTCAGAAGAATGAATCTATTCTGGAGACGCAAGATCGAAAGCCCAAGACGATCGTCAAGAGGGATAGAGAAAATACGACTGTCATTGTCGAGAACCTGCCTGAAGACGTGACCCAACCTCAAATCCGACAGTACTTCAAGGAATATGGACATATCAACAGTATTACCGCATTGGTAAAGGATGAGACGAGACGGGCGGCAACGGCTTTGATCGAATTCAAAACTGCCGAGGAGGCCCAGTCTGCTTTGCTGCGCAATGACAAATATTTTGGCCAATCCCAACTTGGCGTTAGGGCTGGCCACGACCTGACGATTTACGTTACCAACTATCCACCTGCCGCCGATGAGGACTACATTCGCCAGATTTTCGAAGGTTGTGGAGAAATTTTGAGCATTCGTTACCCCAGCTTAGGGGTGAATACCCACCGCCGGTTCTGCTACGTGTCGTTCCGAGACCAGAAGTCCTCAGCTCGAGCAGTTGAGAAAGATGGCACGCTGATTGAAAACAAGTACCGCCTTGTTGCGAAATACTCGGACCCAGGCAACAAAAAGAAGCGAGAAGGCGCGGTAGCAGAGGGGCGTGAAATCCATATCTCAGGACTGGAGCGGTCAGCCAAGGAGGAGCACATATCTGAGGTTGTTTCAAAGTATGGTAGCGTTAAGCGAGTAAACGTACCCTTGACTTTGGCTGGCAAGAACCGCGGATTCGCATACGTGGAGTTTTCGACCAAGGAAGAGGCCGAGAAAGCTGCCGTTGAGCTGCACAACATCAAATTCCGCAATCACATCCTGGCAGTCGAGATTTCGAAAGAGATGAAAGTAAAAAAATCTACCAAATCCTTTGGAACTGCAGGTGAATCGGCGCCATCACCGGCATCCGCAACGCAATCTGAACATGGTGCTACCGAGGGCAACTCTTCGCGGGAAGCTATATCTGCTAGATCGATTGCTTTGATGGGCCTGCCCGACACTGTGAATGACGCTCGAGTTCAGGCACTTTTGGCGCCCCTCGGAACTGTTGTGAAGCTGGTGCTTCAGCCCAGCCAGGGCACTGCAAGCGTTGAGTTTGCGGATGCCGCAATGGCAGGAAAGGCGGCCTTGAAGCTGAACGGAATGGCATTTGAAGGCAATGAACTACGTACAGGATCTCTGGAGGACTTGCTGCATGGCAAATCTGGATCTAGAGATACCTCTGCTGCTCAATCTTCCCGGACTGAGAAACCCGGAGGTCGTGCAGCCAGCCAATTCGTTCCCTCTTCCATGGTTCGACGGCCAGGAGCGCAACGACCAGGGCCAAAAAAGGGCCTAGGATTTACTGGTGCAAAAAAAACCCCGACTGATTCAACAAGCGGGGTCCCTTCAGATACAGAGAAGCTGAAAAGCACTGGAGTTTCAAAGGGCAATGCTGATTTCAAGGCAATGTTTTTGGCTTCTTCAACAGTAGCGGCACAGCCTGATGGTGATAAAGAAGCAAAATAAAGTGAAAGGCGGGTTAAATATCGTGAATGCTAAGCATCAAGAGGCGTTTATCAACATAAAACTGTAACATAATACCTACAAAACCTGCTTTTTCTGATGATCAAAAATTGACCAGAGGTTCCCCTACGTAATAAATACCGAGATATCTAAAAGTCCCTCACTAGAACAACTGTGGTGTAAGATGGCGTAACCGTTTATTCTATTCAATCAAAACTTGATAGATGCCCAACGACGTCTGACTTTGAAATCTGCACTGAGATACACATCTGTGTATAGTTGGCCCACCGCTGCTCAATGATCCTAAGAGTATTTCCATCTCAATTGTGTTCATCGCATGTGGCTCATGGTATAGGCGGGTTGCTATGGTGAGAGCATAAAAGTGTCGATATATCGGTACTAGCCTTTCGTAATTGATCCAACTTGTTTGTCCTTCGCGAAATCCTGAGAGAATAGCCGCTGCCACACGTCAAGCCATTTTTCTTGTTGAGCGGTTGGGAGCTTACCAGGCTGTTTGAAAGACCTGGTTAGAAGCTCACGAAGTCGGGTCCTGAGTACTTTGATGACAAGCATGGTTTTCCAGTCAGGGACAGAGAAACGGCCTCGATTTCCATCCAATATGATAACACCGGAGTACATCTATTTGTAGTTGTGAGTTTATGCCTGACTTGAAAGTGGTGCTAGGTTAGGGGGGTGAGAATAATAAAGGGGATTCTAGACGCACATCACACCGGACATCGCCGCAAAGCAATGCTATTGAAAATGGCTCAACAGCTGTGGTCTCGTGAGCATGATAGACTCTGTATTGGTGTTAGATGACTACCATATTTCATAGGAGGAGGGGATTTTTCTCTCACGTTTTTGCCTGCATAATGTGGTAATAGGATAGCCATTTGATGTCGAGCTGGTTCTTATTCACTGATGATGGGTGAAGACTGATTGATTGGTTGTTGCCGATATTGCGAATGCCTTTAGTACCTGGTGTGTCCCGAACGAGTAGTCTTGGATAAAAGCTGGATGCAATGATTGACGCTGAGACGATATCGTTGTCGCTGTTGATATTGACGCGTTGAGGGACATCAAAGAACTGCTGCTGGCGGCGGTTTCGACCTCCGGGAGCAAAGCGAAGTCTAGACAATGCTCGTCTCTCTTCGTCGGTTAGTGATAAGAACCCGGAGTCAGCTAGAGACACAAGAAGCTGGCCTTTGAGATCTTCGATATTGGCTAACGTTTGCTGGCTGAGAAAGTTCTTTCGGCAGAATTGGAATTCTTTCCCCGAGGTGCCGGTGGACTGGCAGACTCGCTTCCATGCCATATATGCGTTATAGACGGTGAGCAAATCGGAATCTCCGCGGCGGAATAGCATCTTGGCATTGTGTGCTTGTGCGCGCTGTCCGAAGGGCGCAGAAAAAGGCGATTTCGATGACAAGATGGCAGCGACTGTGATGGCCATATCTAGGCATTTGTACACTGTTCCAAGTAGAATAAGCTTGCCTAGGAACACATCTAATGGCAGTCTTGCTAGCTGATGACCGAGGGGGGTGAGCTCTTCAGCTGCAGTGAGAGCGCGGACATCAACCAAGGCATCCACCGCACGACGGATGTTCTTGGCAGATGGAGGATCCAGAGCACTTCCTAGCGTTTCTTCAATACCTCCAATCTTGCAAATTTTGACACGAATAGCTAAGTCCTGCAGGGATAGACGTAGCATTTCGGGGGTTTGCTGGTCGTTCATTAACTTGTCGTTTCTATACTTGGTGAACATGTGGAAACATAGGCCTTCTTGAACACGACCGGCACGTCCCCTTCGTTGCTTCGCGTTTGCCCTTGATATGAATGTGTCTATCAAGCGAGATAATTGTCTCCTTTCATCGTAACGCATCTCTCGATGTTTCCCGGTATCAATGACACAAGTTACATCAGGAATCGTGATACCAGTCTCAGCAATATTGGTAGCCAAGACAATCTTGCGAGTACCGGGTGGTGGGACGAGGAAAGCAGACTCCTGATCCTCGGTCGCAATCGTAGAATGGAGAGGATACACTAGCCAGTCGCGGGAAAAGCGAGGATCACCAAGGAGAAGGTCATTGAGCGTGCGGATCTCCGCAATACCGGGAAGAAACACGAGTATAGCTTTGCTGTATTGTTGTAGAGACCCCGATGAAGCTATGTGAGCAATTAATTGGACGACCAAATCAGGCTCAACACGGTATTCATCCATTTGAGCAAGAGTGCCTCTTGTGGCCGGCGAGTAAGCTGTGAGGCTTTTAGATAAATCGCTTTTGGGACCATCGCTATCGCTCTCATTTGGATCTTCGTCAAGGTCAACCATTTTATCTGCTGGGGAGTCTGACGGAGTGTAACCAGTAAGCTCGATGGCATCTTCGAGATATTGAACCTGAACGGGGAAAGTTCGCCCTGGAACGTTGAGAACGGGGGCACCACCCAGATATGCTGAGAAGCGGTCCGCATCAACTGTGGCAGACATGAGAACAACTTTGAGGTCTGGTCTTTTCTCCATGAGACGCTTAAGGACAATCAACAGGAAATCACTGTCGATAGAACGCTCATGAACTTCATCTAATACAAGATGAGATATGCCTTGAAGCTCATTAGAACCTTCAAGCATCCGCATGACAACACCGGTAGTTGCATACACCAAACGTGTTTCCCTCGATGTGTTTGATTCGAGGCGAATGGAATAGCCAACCAGTGATCTGTTTGTTCCAAGGTCATTCCGGTTCTCGCCCAACTCCTCGCTTACTCGTCGTGCCAACGAAATGGCGGAGATTCGGCGGGGCTCTGTACAGTAGATTTTGCATGATTTCCCTTGGGACAACTCGTGCTCAAGCAAGAAAGACGGGACCTGGGTGCTCTTACCGCTACACTGTTGTTAGCTTGCTCTTCTAAAAATAGTGTCCAACTGAAACTTACCATCCTGTCTCGCCGCACACGATAACAACTTGGTTACTGTCGACAGCACCTAATACCTTCTCTCGGAAGTGCCACATTGGGAGTTGCATTCGGGATTTCTTTGAATATGTCAACAGGAGGGAATATGCGAGAAGATATGAGCAGAACCTACGAGCATAGCTTGATACTTCTGGGTGTTGGACTTGTCTGACCAAATCTTCTTGTAGACATCCACATTTGCGGTGTGTTGCTTCGATCTGTCTTGACTTCCATTCTCTCCCGAGTCGGATAGGTTCTTCGTTCCTCCTCGCCCGCGGAAAGCGTTGGTTAAGATAACACCATCTTCGAGTTCCTGATTCTTTCGTTCGCGGACTAGATCCCGGAGGTCCTTGACCACAAGTCGATCTTGCGTATCAAGATGAGTTTTCTTTGCCTCTGCAAACTCCAGCCAAAGGTCCCGCCATGCTGAGGGAAGACGAAGGTTGACCTTCTCCTCCTTGGGATTATTGCTGAATATGTGGAATAGGGCTGCTGTTGCTGCGTAGGCCTCAGATTGTTTACTGTCAGGGGTTGATATATTAGTCATAGTCAACGCAAACTGGGTAGAATTGCTGTAGATCTCAACATCTGAACTCAAGATATGCTGAGGTGTGTCTTGAGGCTTTGTCCAGGTAATATCAATGGCGTGGCGGTTTGCGAATGAGGTCTGGGAGATGAGCGAGTAGATGATTTTGACGGAAGGGTCCCTGCAATGGTTAGTTTCCTAGCATGGAACCTGTTTGACTGCCAATAGCCGACGTACCTTGAACGGCATGCCTCTTCTAATACTCGGCGAGGGCTGATGCCAGTCCACTTTCCAAAGTCCCTGATCACAATCTTGGCGCCGTCGGCGGAGGTGATGACGGTGTTAGTTTTGCCAGTTGTTGGGTCTACCTCATGCTGAGGCAATGAACCAAACAGATCACCGAGATAATCATCTTCTCCTTCATTTGTCTCCTTTAGTATTTCAGCAGCGATCCGCTCTGCTTCTTCATTCACATCGTCCAGCGGATCTGGATTTTCAGGGTTGCTCCCCAACTCTGATTCAGATTTTTCAAGGTTTTTAGCCTGTTTCTTGGCGACAGCGATTTCTTTTTCCAACGCGGTTCGTTGAGTTTTCCACTGCTGCTCAGCGAGAAATTTGTCAAATAGAACGTCATTTTGGATCTTTTCCAGCTTTGCCTTGAGCTTAGCAATGGCAAACTCGGTTTCAGAATCTTGGGAGTTCTCTCTGTCCCGGGTAGACTTTTTGCGGCCACTTCTTTCATACTCCAAGAGGTCCTTCTGTGCTTTTAGATATTCTGGGATAAGGCTGTCAGGCTCAATTTCCTCATCATACGTCACAACAATCTTCTTGGCTGAAGTAGAGGGTTTTCCGTTTCGCCCTTGCTGGCCGGGTTTACTTCGAGTCGGCAGACGTCCATCCGTTTGCTGTGGTGTTCCTGAGCGAGTTGGAATTGGACTGTCGTTTGGCGTATCTAAAACAGTGATTAGAATTAAAACCGTGTAGATGTGGCATCGTGAGGATATCGAGAAAAACCTTTTGGAGTTGGCCGGGGCCTTGATTCATATGCTGGGAGTTCATCTGCCTGGCATTCTCGGGCCAGCCAATCCAGCGCCTCCTCCAATCCCCAAAAGAGATCCTTTCCGGCAGAAGATATGTTGGGAGAAATATCCAAAATATAGCGAATGACTGCTTGGACCCGATTCTGTGGGAATTCGGCTGCCTCAAGAGTTTGCTGGAGCGTCCAGAGACGGATTATCATGTCATCCTCAGCTGGCATTTTCCCTGCGTTTAGTGTATCTGAGGACATATTCGATGAAGCAAAACGGCTTTCTGCCTGGATAAGATCTAGAATATGATCCATCAAATCCGGAGGGAGCCATTTTGGAATATTGATTGTGTCGGCTTGGCTGCGAAGTAGACGGCGCTCTGTCTGGAGACGAGACTTTTGACGCTGGGCATCACGCTTCACCTTCTGTGAATGGGCCTCGACGAGGAGTTGAAGCTCGGACTCCTCAAGCTGCCTCTCAAACTCCTCGGGGCTGAGAACCTTCTCCTTGCTGGAAGTATCGGCGCCAGACCCTTGTGCGGTAGACGGCGGTGGGGCTTGATCTTTTTTGACCGTTGGAGGGGCATTGGAAGCGGCATTTGAAGGGCCCTTGCTAGCATCCTCAGTGACCTCAGGTCGAGGTTTGGAGGCGATCGATGTTGTTGCAAACCCACGCGCAGGGTTGGCAGCGGGCTTCTTCTTTTTCTTGGCTCCTGCCATTGCGTCCCGGTTCCAGGTTGGCGGGCTCTGTTTACTGGTTAGAAGGGGCGCAGTTCGAAATGTGACTGGTTGGCAACGCGGATGAGATCTTTTGCGTGGGATACGGAATGCTAGGGCCGTGTAGAGCGAGACGGTATCTATGGATTACTCCCTAGGTCCTGCTTGAATTGGAGCTTCTTCTCCAAAGAGAGATGTCTGGAGCCTATCGTGCATGTGAGTTGAGGCTCCATCTAGAGAACGAAACGTGAGGAACGTGATCGATGATGGCAGCGAATTGGGCGATGCTCAGCTTCGGAAGGGAAGATGAAAAGAGCGAAGATAGCAATGGACTGCGTAGCTTGGGGCTATGCGGACTGTTCGGATCTTGTGGATGATGGGTGATGAGCGAGTCTCTTACCGGCACAAATGCAGCGATTCTTTGTTGCAGGTTGCAATGGCGGCAGGAGCTTTATTACTAGTGTGGGCAAGCACCCTGGGCTACCTCGTAGGCCTGGTAATGTGCCCTGGATGCTCCCATGAGATGAATGGATGGACTGACTTTTTAGGTCCTTATTGGGCGAGAGGAATAATGCAACACTGCCTGAGTGCCATGTTAGTGCTTTTGGCCAGGCTAAGGTATTCAAGTTATTACTACTAATACAGACCAAGCACAAGACAAGGATGGGTTTGAAGGCGATTCGGAGAATGACTCAATCGGCAGAGCTCAGCGAAGAATATTCTACCTACTGGTATGTACACCGCTGCCCACATAAAGCCCTGTCGGGACATGTTAGGAACCTGTCTGGTACCTTGAGCGCAGCAGCAAATCGCAGTATCCTAGGGTATCTTCACCCCTCCAGGAGGTACCCGGCCCGAAGCTCGACTGTTTTTTTTGTGGTGGCGGTACTTGGTGGAGGCCAACGTGGGGTCAAGCCCAAAGCAGGCTCATGAGCCACAATTCTGCCAAAACAACTTGCAGGAGGACCATTGCTGTTGAATGGGAAGCAAGCAACGAGCTGGCTTCTATCGTTGATTTCGCCTCGAAACCACGTCGGCAGCTGCGGCTCGTACCTCTAGACCACGTTCCCCAACCATCTTCTGTTCCGTGTGTACGATATAATTCGTCTGGGAATTTTCGTCTGGCCAGCTTTTTTTTCTCGACCGTGCTTTGCCCCTCATGAGTTCGATGTCAAGCTCCAGCCTTGCGCCTCGACATATATAATTCTGCCATGTCTTCTTCAGCCAGCTTCGATCATGTGGCCACTGCAGCGGCTCTATCCTCTTCTTCCATTAGAGTTCGGATCCCATATCTGCAGGGCCTCGAGGAGCGAATAACTCAGCGGGGTGTGTTTCTCTCTTTGCTGCTTGTGCCCAAGCAACGCTCCCTGCCTTCCTACGAGTTCCTAAATGCTGATGGCTTGTGAATATAGCTTTCGAAAAGGAGCCATTCCCCGAATTAGTACGAATCCTCTTTGGGACTATCCCCCTGTACCGAGATCGAGAGTCAAGACTTGTTGTTCAAGCATGCATTGCCGCAATCCTCAAGTCGGAACCACAACCCCAATTGCTGGGATGGCTCACCAAGGCCATGCGCCATGAAGGCCAGAAGGCCGGCCTAGCGACATCGAACTCGTTCGTTCTAGTAGAGTGGTGCAGTTTACTCATGCAATCACTAGCTGGATCCCCTCTCTGGGGCCAGTTCGGAGACGATGTTATCCACTGCGCAGCCGATTCCCTTGCTCGATGCCTCCAATCTGGCAAACAATCGATCGCTCATTCTGCGCTGGTGGTCACAAGGAGAGGATTCCGCAAACTTTTCGGGGCCGATACCCGTGAGAAGGTCCTTCAAGATGCCGTCAAGACCCTGACGGCCAAGTCGAGTCAATCGGTGGCCCGACACGCACCATTGTTGGGAGTAATTGCTGGTGTTTCCTCCAGGCTACCGGCTGTTAAGCCAGCCATTGAGGCTCACAAGTCGCAGTATTACGAATTTTACACTCGAGAAATCGTGACTTCGAAAACGCCTGTCACAGCAGAGGTCGCGGCTGGTCTGAAAGACTTCTTCCAGGACTTTTCCACTCTGCCTGAGCTGGAAAAGGAGGTATTCCCAGCACTTGAAAAGGGACTCCTTCGAGCACCCGAAGTTATCTTGACTAGCGTTCTGAGACCATTGGTAGCCGCCTTACCGCCGGCATTTGACCTTTCAACGTTGTTGAAAGACAAGCTTCTGAAGCATCTATTATCAAGCATCAAGTCGAGCAATGCCTTGGTGAGAGCCGGGGCTGTTTCTTCGTTCCGAGATATCGTCCTTCGATGTCATGATGATGATATCCTGCAAAAAGTTGTCGACGAGATACTTGCTCCCTTGAAAGGAGGCAAGCTTTCGTCACCGGATCATCGAGTTTTGCACGCTGACATGTTGGAGGGCGTCCCACTTTCTGAATCCTCAGCCAAAAAGGTGATGGATGGTCTCGCCATTGTAGCTGGAAAGGAAGGAAACGAATCTGCTTTGTCAAATGAAACGTCCACTCTGTCCAAGGCCGTGGTGCAGCTACTTAAGACCAACGCTGATATTCCTAAGCCCGTGCTTGATGTATTTGTTAAAGGCTTGGCGGATAAAAAACCAGCGTCCCGTAAGCTTTGGATCCTGCGAACTGGCTCCATCTTGCGTGCCTGCGAACTGCAGGAGCCCACTGATAGCATGCTGTCGTGGGTTGAGGCTGTGAGTCCTAAGCTGTTCGACAACTTCAACGAGACCGCGGCCAACGCCGCGAGTGCTGTCCAGAGCGGCCTAGCTATCGGGGCCTACATCCTTACGGCGCTTATCCCAGGGCTTCAGCAGAAATTTCCTTCCGCACAATCAGTCGCCAAAACTCCTATTGCTAAAGATGCTCTGGGCCTCACTGGCAAGCAGTCTTTCCTATTGAACCATAGAATCTACTCTAAACTTAGTGGAGAGGATGACTTGAGTTGGTTTGCTTTGGCCTTGACAGCCCTGCATTCAGCGCTGGACGAGAAAACCCCAACGGATGTTTCTATTGCATGGTCGGGGGCATTTATATATGCTATCACCGCACCAGATGTCCCGCCCTCGGTACAACAAGCAGCAGGCAAAGCATTATCTCAACTTCATTCCAGGAATACACGTCAAATATCAGGATTTGTGACTGATGGTCTCTGGAATTTGCTGCTTCATTCGGGTACACAGGAAAAGGAAACCAAATTTGGAAGAGACCAGCTGATACAAGTGGTAAGGGCGATATGCCCGGATCGCTCCGACGGAGACGAGGCCACTGACCCGACAGCTTTGGAAGTTCAAGCTTGCTCCTTGATTGTTCTAGCACGACATGAACTTATTCCCCGATCGAGCTGGATCGATCTCTGTTTACGTATGAAGATCGACCCCGGGAATCTTGCTCGTAAACGAAAGGAAGAGCTCCTGAAGGAAATATGGACACGAACGTTGATCGAGTCCGATCCTGTTAAATTGGCTGCATCCAACGCCGCCGCTGAACTGGCTTTTGTAGCACCAGATGCTATTATCCCGAGGCTTATAGATCTTGTGCGCGCAGATCTTAGTACTGCAGGCTTAAAAGAAATTGGCCCTGTGGAGGCAGCTATCTTCAGAACCCCTGAAGGAACATGTTTTGTTGATGTCCTGGCTAAAAAGGGCCAGAATCAAGTGCCTAACAAGAATAGCAAAGACTACGATATCTTGAAATGGGAGGAAGAGCTACGGACCCAACTCGAGAGCAAAAAAGGCCAGAAGCGCAAGTTGACCGCTGAAGAAAATGCCAAGGTTAATGCTCAGTTGCAGAAGGAATCGCAAATTCGGAAAACCATTGGAGAAATTGAGTCACGGCTCCATCGCGGTATTGCAATCATCCAGGCCCTCGCGACCGGCCCACCTACCGAAGCAAAACTCTGGCTTAACGATGCCATCACGCTTTTGCTTGGAATTATGGATGCCGGTTGCAGCCTGATAGTGGGTGATGCACCCTCAACAGCTTACCTGGCGCTTTCTGACAAGGTTGCGTCGAGACTTGGTCTCATTCGGAATTTCGTTGGAATTGGAACACTTCGATATCGTGATATAACTCTACCCGAGAACTTCAACGAGGAACCATTGGAAGAATTGATCACCCGAGTTCTCTACCGTCTTCGATTTGCTGGCGAGCAGCGACCCTTTGATGCGGTTTCTGTCACATATATTCTTCCTCTCATTTTCGACCTCCTACGCAAAGGCGGCGTTGGTGCAACTTCGGATGATAGGGATGCTCAGCTGGTGCTGGCTCTCGAGTTTCTCACGTTCCATTCAAACACTTGTGAGGATGAGTCTCTTCCTCGTGCTGAACTATTGTCTGTCTTGATTGAGTCGATGCAGAAATATGGCCAGCATTACAAGCTTGTTCGTGATTGTTTTGTGGATGTGTGTCGGTGCATTGCGCCAAACATCACCCCTAAGGAGATTTCAGTTCTGACAAAGGGCACAATTGTACCTCATGCAAGTGTGAGGACTACCACCCTGCAGTCGATTAGCAGTGACGTCGATATGAGTGAGTTTGGTTATTCGGATGAAATATGGCTTGCATGCCACGATGATGAGGAGGAGAATCAAGAAATCGCAAGGGAAATTTGGGTTGAGAGCGGTGTCCAGGTTGGCCCTGATGTGCCGGAGAGAATGTTGCCTTTCCTCGAATCAAAGGACGCTCAACTTCGCCGAGCAGCTGCTCGCTCCCTTTCAGAAGCTGTCTTGTCGCACAAGGACACACTGGATGTGGTTCTTTCAAAGTTGAAGGCCTCTTACCAAGAGCTCGCAAAACCAAGGGTGCAGTTGTTGGACGAGTTTGGCATGCCCATGAAGATGGATCTTTCAGACCCTTGGGAAGCTAGGCACGGAATTGCCACTGCTTTGAAGGAGCTTGCGTCTGTTGTTACAACGCAAGAAATCGAGATCATTTTCGAATTCATGATCAACGATGGGCCTCTAGGGGACCAAAACAGTGCTGTTCGAGCCGAAA